AGAAAGTTAATGTCATAAAACAATGATTGATATTAAAAGAAAGTGAATTCTATAAAACGATGATTGATATTAAAAGAAAGTTAATAAGTTTAATATTGATATCTGCTCCATGTTCAATTAATAATTTGATAATTTCGTGTGCATTTTGTTTAATTGCAATGCTAAGTGGACATTCGTTAATATAAAAAGAACTTCATAAAACGATGGTTGATATTAAAAGAAAGAGAATGTCATAAAACAATTATCGATATTAAAAGAAAGTGAATCAAATAAAACGATGATTGATTTTAAAAGAATGAGAATTCTATAAAACGATGATTGATATTAAAAGAAAGGGAATGTAATAAAACGATGATTGATATTAAAAGAAAGGGAATGTAATAAAACGATGATTGATATTAAAAGAAAGAGAATGTTATAAAACAATGATTGATATTAAAAGAAAGTGAATGTCATAAAACAATGATTGATATTAAAATAAAGTGAATTAAATAAAACGATGATTGATATTAAAAGAAAGTGAACTTCATAAAACGATGATTGATATTAAAAGAAAGAGAATAAATTTATTGTTCACGCTATTTCCATTTTGAATTAGATATGATGCAGTATCAAAATTCCCATAATACAAAAATTTTGCTATTCCTGAGGAAGGATGTTGATCAAAACTTCTTGAAGGATAATTACGGTGAATCAATGCAATGTCAATTAAACCTTTAAATGATTGACCAGCGTTTAGCATTTGTGCGAAAATTATTTTATTTCCACCTTCACAAGCAAATTTTGCAGTATTTTTAGTATATTTTGCACCTTTATTTTTCAAGTATATAAAACATAACTCTGATCCAAATTTGCATGCACACTCAAGAGGTGTTAAACCATCGCATCTCTCATTAATATCTAAGTTTGGGAATTTGCTTTTAAGATCATCGATTTTATCCCAAGCGATAAAATATAAAAGGCTATCTTTTCTATAGATATTAAGAATGTTTTCTTCCTTTTTTTTAGGTTTGAAATCTTTAAAATGAAAACCTGTATAGAATAATAATGTTGCTAAATCATGATTTCCTGGTTTGATAATTAAAGAAAACTCCTTTGAAATATCTTGATAAAATTTTGCATATTCAGCAATATTCTTGAGGCGAAGTGTTGAAATAGTATCAATTAAATGAAGTGCCATTTTGAGAGGAATTTTTTTGGTTTTAATGAGTTCAATTATCTGTTTTGTGGATTCTGTGATATTGTTAGTATTGAGATTCCAAATAATTTTTGAAGCTTGATCTGGATATTTGAATTCTTTAAGTAGATTCGCATCGGTGGGTTTTTCTTCATTAATTTGAGATATTATACTTTCTTTTTCTTTGAGTTCGAATTTAAGTAATTGTATTTTGTTGTCACTTTTTTGTTTTGCTTTTTGAATGGAGTTGAACTCTGCTTGAAGTTTTTGGATTTTTATTGTTGATTCTGAAATAACTTTATCAGTTTCATCTAAAAAACAATAATTCCATCTAACATCGATAATTTCATGTATTTTCGAACAGATTTAAGTATTGAAATAACTTCTTGGTAATTGCGAATTGAAACATTAGTGTTTCGAGCGCATTCATATAGCTCATTTTCATCAAGGGTAGATTCAGATTGTTTAAGAAGAGTAATGAAATCTTCTGATGTAAAGTTCGCTAATTTTAAGATTTTCTTTAAATCTTTGAGTTCAAAAATATCAAAAAGCTTATCCTCTTGAATATAATCTTTGATATGGGCAGCCAAATATTCATAATTCGGGATTAGTTTATGACTCATCTAAAAAAAATCTTTTACACTTTTCAAATAACCACACAATTTTTGAATAGTATTCAAAATAAAAATCCAATATTCTATTGAAAAAGTGCAAATAAAATGATAAAATGAATTAATGATAAATATCAAATTCTCAAATTAGCTTTAAACGAAGTGTAAGAAGGTATAAATAAAGGTCTTTCGAAATTCTATTGCATTCAAATATTAACAAAAGTTTTCTTAATAATTTTCCCTCAATTTTTTGTAAACATCTGAAAAATAAGTGATAAAAGTCGAAGTCTTTACTCGGGATTAATAACAAACCCCCATGAATAACTGAGTAATGGAGGTAGGCATACTATCATGTTATGGTAATTTTGGATTAATTAATACGGAGGGAAAATGTAAACATCACAAAAATAACGTTATTAGAACAAGAATGTATGGATTATTCGGATTCTTGTTACTCAATATAAAGGTGGTCTATCGTCTATCGGGCACCCTTAATCAAAACAATAAATGTTTTATATTTAATATAATTAGTCGCCATTAAATTCATATAGCATCTTGCATCTATTATTATATCATTGCAATCATTACAAAATGCACGTTATTATATTTGGGAATTCAATAACGCGACTTATTCACAAGATCAATAAATCAGATCACAAAATCCTGCATCAGGTTTGAAATGTATATATATATATATAATACAAATAAAGCTTACATCCTCAATATTATATTCTATCAGTATTAGCCAAATCGTATGAAAAAATTACCATATTTTTTCGAAATATTACAACAGTAGCAACCTTACGTATTACCAATGATAACCAAAGTGTTATTTTGGCATAAAAAATTTAAAACGATATTAAAACAACAGATAGACTAGTCATTCTGATATAGTATTATGCATACTATCATGTGATAAAAACTCAAATATCTCAGCTTGACTTCCGTTTGATTATGAGATACAGAACTAATGTTTCATGTTCTGTAGCCATAGTCACTAATTGATAACATTATTATGATAAGAAATCTAAATGTGCGATTTTATTATACATTTGATTCGGATTTATTATCGAAATGCAAATCACAATATATTTCTTGAACTCATTTGTGAATAAAATTATGATATTATTGATTGTTTTCTAGATATTTACAATGGTTTCTAAACAAGTGAAGATAATCCTTAATTTGAACCAGAATTAATTTTATATTCCTAACAATGGCAGTTTCTCTATATAGAATTATATATCATTTTTGATAATAAACTATGACTGATTTATAATTTTGGAATGTAAACTTCTTTTCTTTATCTTTGAAAAAATGTTAATTGATTTTGCTGTATAATTGACATACCTTAGTCGAAAAATTATAGAATAACAAAAATAAAAAGGTTTAATCGATTTGGAACACAATGAAAATGTTTTGTTTCTCTGTAAATTTTCATTTTTCGATTTTTTTAACCACATTTTTCCAAAAAAAATCGAGAATTGAAAAAAACATTATTATTTTATAGAAAATTGCTTAGGCATTTTCTAAAATAGAAAAAAATTGGAGAAATTCATCAAGTAGAACTTCGTTCTAGGTGTCCAAAGCAATTGCTTTCAGTCAAAAAAGCCTCGAAATTTTTAAATGTTGATATTGATTTTCATCAATCACATAATATCGATTGTTTGCAGTCGATGCCATCACATGTTATTAAACTTTAATATATTTGAACACACTACAAATCGTTTTCGAAACTTATCAAAATTTCGCGCAATTTAACAATACTCCAACTATCATACACAGTTCCTATTACTGCATTCTCATTTTAAGAAGAAAGGATTATTAAAATTTAAGATCTAACGATTTATTTACCCAATTCGAAAAATATTTTCAATTAAAAATCCTTATTTGTGCATATTTTATATGCAGATGCAGAAAGAAAATCGAGTAAAGTGTTGCTTCAAAAAAATACCTGCAAGTAGCCGAATCAATAAACAATTTACTTTTTAAGCATCGAATTTTGCTCGTCTTGAGTGACTTTTTTTGTGCAATTTTCATAATATGATAAAGTATATGCGTTTTCAAGTAAAATATGCATATTTTAGAAGATCATAATATATCTCGAAATCAAACGAAAGTCATTCTATGAGTCCATACACACTATTACTATACTTCATATGTCAAGCATAATGGGAACAATTTTGGTCGATATCTTTGTTGTGGACGAAGCCCCCTTTGATAAAAGCCGAAAAAGTTTCTGTAGATGACTCTGTTGTTGTTGTTGGATGGTCGGATTTGGATTGATTTTTAATAAGGAATTGATTGGCACTTTTATTGTTGAAACCACAAATTGACAAACCTTTCAAATTTCACCGCTACAAAACATTTTGATATATTTTTGATCTATAATAGAATGCAAATGAATTGTTCAAATCCTTTTTTCAATAAATGGTCTTGAAAATTGAAATAAAACTGAAAATTTATCTAGCCAGTTCATTAATCATCCAAATCAGATATATTTTGAAAATATGTAATAATCTTAAAAATCAGTTTAGCAAATTTGACAAATAACAGTTTGATTAAATTTTCATTGGCTGAATACTTCAGGCTATTACCCCAATTTCTCTTACCAAAACATGTTCCCAATGATTTGATCCATATCCGCTTACACATACTGCATAATACTGTCATATTCATCGAATAAAAAAGGCCACAGCGTGAAAAATTTATTGTCATTATTGGATCTACAAGACAAGATCAAAAAAATTACATACAAATCAATATCAAAACAAATTTATATTAACAAACAACTATGCCTCGCCGCCACGTACAATGTGGGCGGGGAGTTTGATTCCAGGTAGGAAATCCATAGGAAGAGTATCCGCAACCTTCATAACTCTATCATAAACGCTCATTTCAGGGCCTTCTGTTGGATATACTCGTGTGAAATTCGAAGATTGGTAAGCTTTTTCCCTTTCTTCTTTAATTACATCAGCCATGTCGAAACTTGATGCATAAGCTGACCATTGTTCGCTATTCCATGCCCATCCACGACAGTCAATCGCCTTTTGAACAATACTCAATGGGGCCGCGATCCTCATTGCTTCGGCCAACATAGATACTTTCATGCGTCTCTCAGGTCCACGATAATAATCGAGAGAAGGACGATAGTTAATTTCCAAAACATGAGGATTTGCGTCTTCATCGAGTAAAACATCGAAGCCAAACACTTGGAAGCAGCGACTGTAGCACCATTTCGGACATTGGAAGAAGATGAAAAAGATGAATCATCTTATTACAAAAATAAAGTCGTCTTTCTTTCAAAGGAGGATGCATTTCGAAATCCAATTGGAAGCCTTGGATGGAAATATCCATTTGTTGTAGCATTGTTATCTCTTCTAGAACTTGTTAAAACAGCTTTGAATTCCATTGGTTTAATATTTTGCAATGCTTCTGTCATTTTAGTTTTACGAGGTTTTCTTTGCTTCTTCACAATGTTCACATCATGGGCAATTCTCAAAAAGAAGCCAAAACAGAGGCACGTAATTGGTGTTTCATTTGCATTTGCAGGTTTGGTTTTTGTTGGTGGATCAGTCATTGGTTGGAAGAATTCATTTGGCAAAAAAGTCAAATTTGCGTCCAAATCTTTATTAGGAATTGCAATTGCATTATGTGGGCAATTCGTAGCATCAATTCATTTTGTTTTGGAAGAGAAACTAATGAAAGGAGTTGAGAAACCAGTTCCACCTATATTCATCATTGGATCAGAAGGAATTGCTGGAATTGTAATATCACTTGCAATTTTTTTGCAAATTACAACTGAATTCATGGAAAAGATCATGGATCATATGAGAACTTAAAGAATTCATATTACATGACGTTTCATAATCATAAGATTCTCAGTCTCCAAATTGTTACATTCTTTTCAATTATGATGTATAATTGGTCCGGAATTCTTTATACAAAAATGGTTTCTGCAACTTCAAGATCATTAGTTGCAGCAACGGTTACAATTCTTGTTTGGATTATCATGTTGATTCTTCATTACACAACTCACCACTATGATGAGAGTATCTCATTATGGTCAATAATGGAAATATTTGGATTTATTCTTATGGTAACTGGAACATCAATTTATAACAATGTGATGGATATTGGAGATAAAATCATTGAAAAAATACGGCTCACTAAAAGTGAATCCGGAGATAAAGAAGAAGAAAAAGAAATATGATCTTATTTAGCTTAAAATTGTGTTAAGAATCCTTTGCATTTTTTAGACATCAAGATCTATTAAAAACATTATTCTATCGATTATATATATTTTTCAGGCTTTTTCTTGCTTAAAATTGGCTCATTTTTAATCATTCAGTGAATTTATGAAGTCTCGAGAGCCCTATTGAATAAGTATAACCATAGCTACTTATCCACTATTTTTCTTATTCTAGAAAATTAGTGCATAATCTATTGTTTTCTAAAATATCTTTGAAATTTTAGATAGGAAGATAAAGAACTTATTTCTTTCGATATTAGGCTAAGCATTAATATATTGATTCCAACAAAAATCAAATTAAATGTCAATTTATATTAGATTAAAGCTTATTCAAGAACTTCAACTATGAATCAAATAATAAATAATACTGAGCTTACTCATTATTATAGTAAGACTATTTTAAACAGATTTTCTCTAAAAAAATGATGAAATTTCTAAAAATTTACAAACATAATATTTAATAACAATATCTTTCTTCTTCTAATACTTCTCCAGTCAAACAATCTACTTTTGAAGTTAGAGGAGGACAATTATTTCTGAATATTCCAGCAAGTGCGTTTCCAACCAAATCTGGATTGACAATAAATTCTCCTTTAATTATATCAGAACAATGGTAATCATCGCAAAAGTAAGAAGTGCAATTTGAAGCTTTTTGTTTCGGAAATACCTGAACTGCTCGTAAACCATCCTTAGAAGCATCAGATATCCAATCAGAACACGATAGTCCCTTTGGAACTACAGATATCAATGTCGTATTCATGAAAACTGTTGCGATCATTGAATCTGTTTGGACTCCAACGATGAATTGAGGTTCATACTTCATGTTCAGTAGTCCTTTGGCCGTATGTTTCTTATCCGCGTAGACTATTTCGCATCTCACGCAGAAATCTAATATGGAATCAACTAATGAGTCAATTTCTTTGATTGTAGAGTCTGAATTCAGCACATATATCTCCTGTTTGCGTTGTTTGATATTTCTGATCAATGGTCTGACCTTTGTTGCGTCAGATTTGAAATTATTTATCATCAAATTTCGGAAACATTTTTGATCTCTGCCCGAAACAACAACATCCAGGTTATTTGCGATATTCAGCTGATTCAGGTAGTTACGTTCGTCGAATACAATCGTTTGGAATGTCTTGTATTGGTCGCATTGTTCCAAAAAATCTTTAATTGTCAAATACATGTTTTCCTTTTGCCTCACGAACGCGGCTTTGAATATTTCTTCTTCCATATTCACTCTGCCGTACCTGGATACGTGCTCAAAAACGCCAGATAAGTCGTAAGGAAGAAATCCTGGATTTTGGTGTGGAATTTCTTCGAAATTCGCTTGTATTCTGCTGTTTTTAACGCATACATTGTAAAAGATACAATACTTGCCTGTCTTATTCTCATTGCAATAGATATAAGAAGAAGATTTTGAATCATTTGCAATTGAAAACTTAAATACTCGGCTAATTGGCCGATTATTGTACTTGATAACTGCATATATTATTCCTCGTACAGGAATATTGAATGAAAATGTGATATTTTTGTCATTCATTTTAACATCATTTGCTGCGCTTATTCTTTTAGTAAAATTGAATCCACCGTTTGTGGCTTCAAGAACCAAATGACTTATCAAGTTCTCTCTAGTAATATTGAATATATAATCAACATGAATTTCTGCAGTAAGAGTATTTTTGCCTGTTTGTCTGATTTCAAGGAATTTAAATGCTGAATATGGATTTCTGGTTCTATTTAGATATGCAAATTTTAAAAATGAAGAATGATCTGAATAAATTGATCCTGAAAGTAACGCAATTATAATACATGTAAGCCAAAATGCATACCCACTACATCTGTAATAATCTATTTCTATTATTGCATCGTCGAAAGAAGCTTCTTTTTCATCAGTTTTCCATCGACGTTCCATAGAAAAAGGCCAATATAATTCGAATTTGATATTTTATCCATCAAAATGGTATTTATGAATAGAAAACTAGTATAGTGAATTAAAAAAATTTTCCACTCCTTGAATTCGGAAAAATCAAATGAAAGATGAAAGAAAACATCTTGTAAGTAATTACTTGGATGAAACGGCTATACTGGAGATATGGTGAAAATATTGCATTCATGATATAACATAATATAGCAGATCAGAAATTTCACTATGAATATCATGTATTTTTATATGCACATCAATTCCAATTGAATAGAAATTTGATCATCATAATGATTTTCAATTTCACATAATAAATTTTTGCTTTTGTAACTCATGAATAATTCCATATACCCAGACAAGCAAATAATACAATAAAATCACAAAAAATGTTAATTTATCATACAACGATAGTTTGTACGAATGTATTCATATGAATGAACAAAATCATAATAAAAATTCAAAGTTAAAAATCATAAAATTATTCCGAATATTTTTGAGAATAAGCACATGAGTGTTAAGTAACATATAAAGAAAATGTTTCCTTTTGAAATTTAGTATATTTCAAATTGTGATTCAAATTTAGATAATATTTTTGGATTTACATGTGTTATTTTATACATATAAAATTAAAAATGAACATCTGAACCTTGATGATATGATCATTGTTATATTAATGAATTCTTGATAAGAATAGAAAATTAATATTTTTAGTCGCGAAGCATGTTAAAAGTGCAATAAAAGTATATATACATGCACATAATATGTTCATACTCAAAATATTACTTGATCATGTACGACCATCTTTGTCTTTAGCATTGATATCTGCTCCATTTGAAATAAGAATTTCGGCTGTTTCTTTACTATTATCACTGGCTGCATCATGAAGAGGGGTATATCCATATTTAGTTTTAGCATTGATATCTGCTCCATTTGAAATAAGAATTTCGGCTGTTTCTTTTACTATTATCACTGGCTGCATCATGAAGAGGGGTACATCCATATTTGTCTTTAGCATTGATATCTGCTCCATTTGAAATAAGAATTTCGGCTGTTTCTTTACTATTATCTCTGGCTGCGTAATGAAGAGGGGTACATCCATATTTGTCTTTAGCATTGATATCTGCTCCATTTGAAATAAGAATTTCGGCTGTTTCTTTACTATTATCTCTGGCTGCATCATGAAGAGGGGTACATCCATATTTGTCTTTAGCATTGATATCTGCTCCATTTGAAATAAGAATTTCGGCTGTTTCTTTACTATTATCTCTGGCTGCATCATGAAGAGGGGTACATCCATATTTGTCTTTAGCATTGATATCTGCTCCATTTGAAATAAGAATTTCGGCTGTTTCTTTGCTACCATCTATGGCTGCCAATGAAGAGGGGTTGCTTCATATTCGTTTTTAGCATTGATATCTGCATCATTTGAAATAAAATATTCTAAAAGTGATGAAAGATGGAAATTCGGAGAATAAACAAAACATGCGTTGATGTCATTTGTTTGATCCAAGTAAACTAAAAATGATTGAAGATTATTGTATTGAGAGCACATTTCTAAATCAATTTCTATGTTGTGTTCATTCATCAAAAATGTGACAAAATCGATATTGTGTGATATAATTGCATATTTCATGCATATCTTATCTGGTTTTTGTACTTTCAAGCATTCATTCATAATGTCTTGATTTCCACTCAAAAACGAAAATCTAAGACAATCTGGAGTGATTTCTGATTGAAATTTCGTTATTAAAAACTTAAAACAATCAGCAGATCCATGATAACAGCATAATTCAAGTAACGAAAGACCTTCAGCTGAATATGGATATAAATCACTTTTTAATTCTTGATTTTTATCAATCCTTCTCTTTCTGTAAAGGTTATCAATGATATTTTGTCATCATCCATAATAGATCTGTAAATTGTATTTTGTTCGTGAATATCAGATGAATAATGAGAATCTTCAAAATCGTTAAAACTTTTTTGCCCGTTTTCATTCAATACAATATTGTATTCTTTGTAGAAAAGGTAATTAAAAACCATGTTGATTTTGTTGACCTGATTTAGATGGTATTCGTCAACAATTTGTTTGGCAATCGCTAAATATGACTTCATGTAGCGGTTGTTATAAATTGAAAGTTCGGATATATCATTGATAATCACATCAGGCTGAATTTGATAAGAGTCAATCAGGTTTTGTCTGATTTTTTTGTATAATGCGTTTAATTTTTCTTCGTCATTTGTTTTTCAGCCTGTACAAAGCATTGTAGACATCATTATATCCTGCAAAAATCTCCATCAATTTGTCATAATGAGTTTGGTTAGTTTCTCCCTTTGTTAACATTTTCCAATTTTCCACCAAAAATTTTTTAAGGGGGTAGGTTTGATTCAAATGCTGTTCGGCATTAGAATTAAAAATAATCATTAGTATAATAATTACACTTTTATTGCATTTTTAACAGGCTTCACGCCTGTATAAAAACGTAATAAAAGTGTAAATTTCACGATATCGTAATTTTACATACAAATTTCGAATTTCGAAAATTTTCAATTTATCAGACAGTAAGGATCCTATTTGGAGAATAATATTCCTCAATTCTAAAATTCAGTAACCAAATGTGCAAATTGTGAATCATTTAAGGTATGATGGAACACCAATGAGGCATTAGATCAATGTAATACATTAGAAGATTGTGCGGAATGTCTGGTTAAGAAAATATGAAAATATGAAATGAAAATGAAATATTTCTTTCAATTTTTCATACACCTTTTGTCTATCGTTTGCGTAGTGGTGCTTCGCGCCGCTAATCATATTTTGAGAACAACTTTGGTTGTTTGTTCGGCAAAGCTATTTCAACAAATTACGATTTGCAATCAGATATGATGTAATAATATCAGATTGATTTATGACTTTTGATGATAAATAATTATTAAATATTTTGAAAAGTTATTTTTTTTTCGCTATTTGATTGGCGCAAAGCGCCAATCAAATAGCTCAAATTAATATTGTGATATTATTTCAGATATGATGAAAATTTTTGAGTGAAAACTATCAAAACTAAGTCTTAAAAAATCGATATTTAAAAATGATTTTTGATTGTTACACTACTTGCGAAAAAATGTCGATTAATCTTCTATATATATCATCTATCGGCGCGCGGAGCGCGCCGATAGATGAATGAAAAGGCTTATAAAGTACTAAATCATTAAAGCAGTATAAGAAATAACTCAGATATGAGAGAACTATTCTCAAATGTGTTTTCATTCAGAAATGATGATAGTTCACATATATGTTTGTTATTTAAATAAAATAAAGCTTTTAAAAAACTATTTGCATGAAATAGATATTTTTTAAGCTGTTAATGGCTGCAATTTGTCATCATTTGCTTCCTTCTTCCCTCTTGGTACATAACACTTTTTAATAAGGCAATAAAATAGTAATATCAATGCAAGAGGTACAATAGCACAACAAGCATAAATAGAATACAAAATCACTTTTAGCCAGGTTTGATCTTCCTCATTCCATTCGTCGTTAAGATTCTTTGAACCGTTTTCAGCGATAAGATATGCTCTGAAATTATTTGAATAGATGGTGTTTCGAATAACATAAGGATTATCTGATTTTCCTCCAACTTTAAACTTGATACTTGAATTCTTATTTGGAGTATCGATTACAGCAACAACGGAATTTTGATATTTATCCTTTGGAGTAGTAGCAGCTCCATTTTCATCATAAAATTTTGCATACTTACGATAACTAACTTGGATATCTCCATCATTTGCAACAGCATAGACGCATAATTTGGAATTATCGTAGAAATTTAGTGTGTAACTTTTACTTCCGATTATTGTAACATCTTCTTTGCAGTGCAAAACATTTGATGCGTTTTTAATAATAACAAATGATATATTATCGTATCCTGTAATTCTCAAATATGAATCGGATAAAAATGACCATCCTACAACTTTTTGATAATCACCTTGATGGAATGTCTCTGAATACGTTCCGCAGGAAATATGGAACCTTGCATATTTAAGACCGAAAGAAATCATATACGAATTAGCTGGAATGCTCAAATTATATGATTCTTTAACATTTACATTATAATTTCCGTATCTAAAGTCAACAATGTCATCAATAATTAAATATGATTCCAATGAAGAATCATATAATGGAACGCAATAAAAATCAGCTTCAGATTTTTGTCTATCTTTGTTTATACCAAATGAATATTCACTGCGAGTATCATATTGGACTTGAAGCATTGCAGTTGTATAATTTAATGAAAGTTGTAGAGTATCCCATTTAATGAATGATTTTTCATCCAAAATGTAACTCGTGAATATATGAAACGTGTATCTTCTTTCAGATGTATAGAAATTTGATTTTGGCATTTGAGAATTAGCAAATGCAAAGCATGCGATTTTTGCCATCTGATATGAAGACTTTATTTCAACCCAATCATCTATGTTTTTGTTAAGAATAAAGTCTAAAGAATCGCATTGACCTTTTTCAATTTGAATAAAAGAATAATTTAGAAAGTTTCCATTTGAAGTTATTTTTAATGATGTTGGATTCGTGTAGATCTTTTTAAGAGGATGATCGTTGTAAATGAAATTTTCTGTATTTGGAAAGATGACAAAAGAATCGAAATTATCTTTCGAAACAAACGACAGCTGTAACTCTGAAGATACAAAATCTGAATAGGATCCAGGTACAGCAATCTCTTTGGCAAGAGCAAATGTAGCTAAATATGAGGCAAACATTTATAAAATGATAAAACAATGAAAAAAATTGGATCATGGAAATTCAGACGACAGTTTATTTTGCAAGAATCAGAAAATTTGGCGGTTGATTGATGAATCAGACTTTATAAAATTAACCATTTTATTGATGATAATGTTGTCATTATTATCATTATTACAGATCCATAGAATTCTGAATTTGTTTACAAAATGTTCAAAACGATAAAAAAACGTACATTTTTCTTTTTATTCCCATCGTCAAAATTTATTACAATAGTGTCATACCGGATATATTTCCATCATACGGTATTTTCTTCTAAAATATTGATTTCTTTCTTTATAATTACGCTGTGAAGGGAAATATATCATGTATTGATCCTCATTTCATTGGCAAAAATAGTATATACAGATTTTGTAGAATTATCCATTGCATTCCATAATAAACAAGTAATTCGATGAGATGATTTTCTTATATAAAAAAATGTATTAAAGGAAATTCTCTCGCAATCATCTAAAATTGTCTGGAAAATTTTTCATCATTCTTCATCATTCCTAAATAAAAACAAATAAATTAATTAAAGAATATATAATTTAAAATTTTTATATTCTATATTTATAAAGCATGAAAACAAATAATGCTATCTTAGCTACCATATAGCAATATACACATGGAAATTTAATCTAATTTTTCATTAAGAATATATCAAAATTAAAACGGCTCATTCCAAAATAATAACAATTTCAGCTGCAAAAAGTAAACAACTTTCGGGGAATTTTGGTATGCTAACATTTACTAAAAATGAAGCAAGAGCTGAACATATTTTTCCAGACTTTTCAGAGAATTGAACTCAGGCTCAATTCTCTGAAACAGTCCGAAGAAAAATGAAAGTCTGTCACAGCTTTCAATGATTAGATCGATTCTAACGGAACCTAAAAATCGAGAATTGAAAAATCTCAACAGACTTTGAAATTCTTCTCTAACGAATTTGCATTTGAAGTAAGCTCAGATTATTATTGCAATTTTTATGTGTTCAGATTATTAAATAAAGAAATTAAAGAATAGAAATTTTATATTTTATTATTCTATATTAATAAATCATGAAAACAAACAAGTGCTGTCTTCACTATCATATCGCAATATACACATGGAAATTTAATCTAATTTTTCATTAATAATATTTCATTTTGTGGTTTTGATGAAACACAAGAATTATAATGGTCAATATCAGCTGAACCAAGCATACACTGATAAAATGCATTGTTTGCAAAACCTCTTGAATAAACATGTTCAAGAAAAGTCCACATTCCTTTTGATGTGGTCGAAATCCACTTCACAGCAGACTTTAACGACTTCTGTGATAGATCAGATTGTTCGTAAAGTTTTGTGAACTGATATTCAAGTTCCCAATTTAAAAATGACGGATTATCTTTTATATCAGCGTAAAATTGCTTGTAATCGGACAATCCTTTGTTCATATAATACAGTCTGAAGGAAGGGTTGTTGTCGTGCTTCGGAGAAACAGCTGGATTGCTTAAAGCAATTATTTCAAGATTCTTGGAATTAAAGAACGGCATGAGCATATCAAGGTGCACATGTGCTCCTAGTAAGTAATCTGGTTGTTTTTCTTCAAATACTTGTGAAATTTGGTTGATATGATAATCATACCAAGAATTCTTCTTTTCAGCGTAGTTAACGCCTGGCTGTATATGGAAAAGTATTAATGTCTTGTATTCTGTGTTCATTATATTCTTTAACCATGAAATCTGGCCGTATAAATCTGATTCTGTCAAATTTCTTCTTTTTGAGTAAATAACGGAGTTCAAGGATATAACGCGTAGATTGGCCTTTGGATAGTCATAGTAATAATAGCCTCCTTTTTCGAAAGTTTCCCTTTGTTGATCTGTCAAATAAGATCCCAAAATTTTTGAAGTGTTCATGAATGTTTCTATATCTGAATTGTAGCCTCCATAGTTGGGATCGTACTCCGCATTGCCCAAATTTAAAATAAATGGAACTTTTGGATATAAATTTTTAAGATTCGTTGTAATTCTTGATAAATCTTCTTGTATCGTCTTGTACGTATGATTGTATGTCCATGTATATGTTGAATCTCCTCCAAACACAATGAATTTAGGTTTTGGAGCGATATTTTTAAGGTTTTCAAAGAACGATTCAACTAATTCATGGGGAGCTTCACATCCATATTGCCCAAAAGTGAAATTTAGTCCATTTGGATTAATATTTTCATGACAATTCTTTTGGCGAGATTTGGTATAGACGTATTCATGATCAATATGTATATCATTGAAGTATATGAAGTAATTATCTGAGGGGTTAAGAAAATAATGTAATAACACAAATATTATTACAAATAAACCTACGATAGCGCAAAATATATATGAAATTAGACCCCATTTTGTTGGGGTAGCCTTGTTTTCGGCTTGTTTTGGTTTTGTTGGTTTTTCAATCAATGGATCTTCTTCCGTGCTGTCATAGGAGTCACTCATTCAGAATTTTGGGGATCAAAAAAATTCTTATTCAATTTTTGAATGGTCTCAACAAAAATAATAATACCACTATACGATGTTTAATAAGAATTTACTTGGAAAACTTTTGTGAGTAAAAATTTTGAGAGGTTGCATTGTTTTTAATTGATAACATTTAAAAAGAAATTGAAGAGACAAATAATAAAGAATTTTCGCTTTAGAAAAAAAGTTAATTCAATAAATATCGACCAAACGAAATAAAAAAAGCAATTCTTCTTTATTCAAGAAATGGATAAATCATATATGTAAACTTGTGCCATTGTTTCACTAGTTTCAACACTTCAAAATCTTCTGATTTTCTGATTTTCGAATTCAAATAATTTCATGATGATAATATATCAGACAAAACATCATCCATCATAGAGCCTAGTTCAATATTTAATTGTTGTGTGTCCATTTGATAAAAATATGCTTTAAAATAAAGAGATTAACACTTTTTTTATTGAAAGTGACTATTTTTATGGTTAATGTCAATGTTTTCAAAAGGGTAAGCGCCTAAAGTTAATAATTTATCTGCATTCTTTATTAGAGTTTGCATAGTTTCGCATCCAAATAGTCTCAGACCCTCATGAATCTGAGTATTTGCAATTTTTCTAAGAAGTAAAAGCTTATCAAATAAAAAAATGTTTATTTTTAATCCTTTTTGATTTTCAATCTACAAGAGAAGTTAGAAAATGCTCCTTCCAATTATGCAATATTGCATTTATCTTTTTCAGAACCTTTCTTAGAAGCCTTCTTATCAAGTGGTTTTGGAGGAGGTCTTGAAGAAGGCTTTGGAGAACTATTTGAACTAAGTATATCGGCATATCCGGGTCCGAGAGAATCTAATATATAAAGCAGAAGAGAATTTCATAAAGCAGAGATCAATATGAAAAATAAGAGAATTTTATAAAAGAATGAAAGATATGAAAACAAGGGGAATATCATTAAGCAGTGATTGATATAATAGTTAAGAGAATAGTATTAAGGTCAGGTAAGTGGGGCTTCCAGGCGCGTTGCGCCCTCTAGCCCATAAGAAATTTTGCCCAAGACCCAAGAGGAGGACCGAACCCCAGCCGACCAGCCGGTGACAAAACCAAAACCGTTGTTATTTACATCATATTAATGGTGTTACTTTTTAAATGTCACATTTTGTGTCGCTTTTCACAAATTATATATGTTTTCATGTTTTGTCACTTTTCGGGTAAAAACATTTTTATTATTATATATAAATGAATTTTACAAAACCACCGTTACCGTTCTTTGGAAATAAGAGTAGATGTAAAGATATTATATTGAGAGAACTTAAGAAACTACCGAATGGTCTAACATTTGTAGATTTGTTCGGTGGAAGTTTCTAATATCCCATTTATGTCATACCGTATTTCCTGACTCAAAGATTATATGCAATGACTTCGACAACTATATGAACCGTCTCAAACATATTCCAGACACAAACAATATATTGAAAGAGTTAAAAGAAAAGATACCTATAGGTAAGATGGAACGTATACCATTAGATAAGAAAAATATTGTGAGAGAGGTTTTGAAAAAAGCAGAATATATAGACTGGGATAGTATATCTGCTAGACTATTATATAGTGGTGCTATAAGAGTTCATGACATTGAAACACTTATGTCAAAAGTTTTATATCTTAACTATACAAATGTTTTCAAAGAGGACATAGAAAAATATATTGAGGGTATAGAGTTTGTGAGATGTCATTGGACAGAGTTGTATGAAAAATATAAAGACAAGGAAAATGTTTTCTTTATAGTGGACCCGCCGTTCTATAACACATGGGATTTTCAATACCAAGTAGACTGGACTTTGAGAGACTCTTTAGAAACTTTAGACGTTATACATAACCATCCATGCTTTTACTTTACATCCGATAAAAGTGGTTTGGAAACCGTTATGAGATGGTTAGAGGACATACATGACTATGAGTTTATATATGACAAGAGAGAATATGAGAGAGGTCCTATAAACTGGAGAAAGTGTCATAACAAAGAAATTTTATTAGTAAGTAAATGTGGTTTGAAATAGGACTATTTGTTTTAGGTTTTTTCCATTGTGTCATTTATTTATTTGACATGGCAGAAAAGTACAGAGAATATGAAGATGAACCAATGCCTGCAAATGTTCAGTATATGTACTCGTAAGAGATATTTTTATCTAATATTAAATGGACGCACAGAACTTAGCGAATGCACAGCAACCTGGACAACCAAACCCAGAGAATATTCCAAATGAAGTTAGAATACAAACTGCAATGGCAAACTATGGTCAAGTGCCAACAGATGTACAAATGCAAACTGCCATGTCAAATGACGCTGCGTTAGGTTTGCCACCATGGTATGCAAATATGAGATGGAAAGAGTTTTATACAAACCCTGAAGTGGGATATAAACAACTTTATGCAGATGACGCGAACACAGGAGTTGACCCAGAATATGTTTTCTACCAGAGGAGAAACAGAATGTATGAGCTCCAGTTAAAGAATGCTATGGAACTCAACAGGAAACGTAAGAGACTAGGCGGACATTAGATTTTTACATATAGTAAAATGGGTTTCTTCAGTAAGATAGGAAACTTCTTTCGAAATGTTGGAAGAGGTATATGGAATGGAATAAAATCTGTCGGAAGAGGAGTATGGAACGGTGTCAAAAATATTGGTAAAAGAGTAGGTCAGTTCGTTGGTATTATACCTAAAGACCCTGAACCAGAAGAGCAAGCTCCTGTTATACAACAGCCTGAACCTGCACCACAGTCTAGTTGGCAACCAAATCCAACACCTCAACCGTATTAAAAAATTATATTTTTATTGTTCGATAGTAGTTGTATATGAAACTAAGTTCTAAGTAAAACGCATGGTATAATGGAATTATTCTTTTTCTTCCATCTGTAGTAAACCATACTTGAAAGTCTGAAATACTTCCACTCGGCGGTTCATATAACTTTGTAGGTTTTTCGTAAAAGTCATTCATCAGACATAAGAAAGAGTTTTGCGCACCAGAAAATGAAGCATGAACAATAATAGCATCTGGGTCGAAAATATTTTCATATGTTCCATTAGGTTTTTCGACTTCATAATAGTCCGGGTGTACTGGATATGCTGCAGGCTGATTTAACATCCTCATAAATTTATACCATGCCAAGTTGTTATATTTTGTAGAAATATAAACGTTTTCTCCAAGGTCTTCTATTTTATTGATTTTAACAGTTGCATTTTTCCTGTCATAAATAATATCGAGATGGTATTCTCCTTCGTCAATGTTAAACTGGTTTGCATATTCAATATAGATATCGTTTATTTTTTCTTGAAAAGCTTGAAGAGTTGTTTCTAAGTTTATAAGCAAATTAACTTGTAAAAGTTTTCCTTGTTCAAATTTCTCATACATACGTTTTTCTTTGTTATAGTATCGAACTTCAAAACCGACCGTAAATGGGAAACCATGTATGGCTTCTGAAATGAACTTCATTCTACGAAAGCCAATAGCTTTTGTGACGGATGGGTCTCTTAACCATCTTAATGGGTAGTCAAAACGATAGCCTTCATGCTTTACGGTATCTGTCTCAAACTTTTGACCGACATTAGTAAAAAGTTCATCTAATGGTTTAGTTGTAGCAACTCTAGAATTTTCTTTTTCTATTGGAAGCATATTTTATCTATAATAAAAATGTCAAATGAAACAGCGTCTATGAGAGAAATACAACACAACCGACAACTCATTATGCAAGCTCTAAATAAGAACACAACAAACTTTTCAAACTATTCTAAGATATCTGAGTCATTGAAAGGGGGTGACTTAAAACTGACAATAAACCCAATGACAGATGAGTTTCTATTTCAAGACAATAAGAACAATACTGTCTGTATAAATCCAACAAAAGGAACTTTAAACGAGAAACCTATAAATGAACTTCTTTTGAAAGCAGATGTTGACAACAAAGCTGACAAAGAATATGTAGACGATGCAATAGCAAAAGAAGAAGAAAGAGCTAACAATGCTTATGCAACAAAAGAACATACTCATCCTGAACTAGCAGACAAAACATATGTTGACAATAAAATGTCAAGTGAAGTGACAAGAGCTGAAAACGAATATTCTAAAAAGACTCATATACATTATATTAACCAAATATCAAGTCTTAAGGAAACATTAGAGACAAAAGCAGATAAGACTCATACACATTCTATATCTGATATTACAAACTTACAAGAAACCTTAAACAGGAAAAGTGCCGTTGGACATACACATACATCTTCTGAAATAACAGACTTAAACGTTAGCCTTGAAAATAAAGCAGATAAAACATATGTCAATGAAATATACCAAAGTTTGATAGGAACAAAAAATATTGAAACTATTGTTGGTGACTTTTCTGTCAATGAAGAAAATAAATATTTTAGATGGCAGTTGGTACAGTCCTTAAAAATGGTACACGGAATAAACTCATTCCGAAAAATAACAATGAAATGTATGTAAGCTATAAAAAGAATGATGGTACACAAGTTAAAGTTCCATTAGACAACAACTGCTACTTAAACTTATATGGAGACGAACAAAAGAAATATTTAAGAGTTTATGAAATGGTGGATATGATATTACCTGACCCAGCTCCGGCACCACATTATTATGACTATAGAGATGACGACAGAACACCACATGTAGATGAACAAAAGCTAACATTATATTTAGATTATTATAGATATAAAAGATATAATGCAATTGAAAAAACGAGAATAGTATATTATTATACAGATGACAGAAATAAATATTATAGTCAAGACTTTACTTACCCTGAAAACATAAGATTATATTATAAAAAATATTCTGACACAAACCAGAAGAAACCTGAAATAGTTGCACTATATTTTAAGTTCAAAAGAGACAATCCTATAATATCTCATATGTTTGATTTAATAAACCCAGTAGGTTCTATTTATACATCTATGGATGCAAGAGGTCCTCAAGTAATGTTTGGTGTTGGTGCATGGGAACAAATAGTCGACAGGTTTTTGTATTGTGCAAACTCTTCAAAGGAAACAGGTGGAAGTAAAACGATTTCAGGTGAAAATTTACCTGCACACAGTCATTACATAGATTTAAGTACATCTCAAGCAGGTTGGCATAGTCATAGATATTGGGATTGGTCAGGAATGACAAACGGTAAAGGATATGATGTTAAAGACGACGTTAAGTTTGCTATAAATTGTTACTGGAATAACACGCAGGGAGAAGGAAACCATACACATTTCGTTTCAGGATATACGCAAACAACGGGACAAAGTAAAGAATACATGCCACCTTACATGACAGTTTACGCATGGTATAGAATTGCTTAGTCGTCATTTTCAACTTCTTTAGCATATTCGTCAGGAGTTGTCTTATATTTGTTAGGAACTGTCTTTGAAAGTATACCACCTTGAACTTTGACAAGTTTGAAACGAGGTCTGACAATAGTAGTTTTATCTTCTGCTTGCAGTGTGTACATTTTGCCATGTTTGCCTAAAACTTCATAATATTCTCTTGTATACTTTCTTCTATTTTTACGAACACGAATGTGAGTACCTGTCGGGTTCCCATTGTTGTCATAGTCAATAGTATTTTCATATGGGTCGCGTTTAGGTATTTCTATTTTTACTTTGTCACCTTTCTGAAGTTTGAAGCCCGGCATTCTTTCTTGTTTGTCTCTTTTGACTAAATTATTAATATATAGTCTTTCTCTAAGTCAGGGTTGTTTTCATTTCTTCGGGGGAGTGGTTTCCCAAACCTTTTTGTTTACGGTTATTGTAAATATTTAAAACTTGTCTTCTTTGCCATGGAGAAGTGTCTATATTTGTCGTCATATGACATTTCATTTGCTTCACCACCTTGTGGTTGGTTTAAGTCTCTTAACATTTTTATACACCGTCAATGACACCAAGAGCAGAATGGTTTTGGTCGACAATGAAATATTGGTTTACATTTTTTGAACGCAGATAGTTTTTAATATCATCTGATTTGAAAGAACTTTCACAGTCAGATGTCAGTTTTGTTGGATGGTATTTGTCAACGAATATTGTCAAAGCTGCTAAGATATCTAAAATATTTTTGGACTGTAATGGTATGGCTTCACAGTATCTTGTGTTTTGACCAACAAATATTAACCAGTATGGAGGTCCATCTGTTCTAACTCTCGGAATGTTTTCCAAGATATCCATAAACCAAGCATTTGGTGTTGAACTAAAGATTTTTATCATGAGTGCTTTCTTTGTCGCTTTAGAAACATAGGGGTCCTTGTTCGGATTCGTCATTTTTTACCCTATAAGAAATGGGTTTATTTGGCGCATTAGCAGGAGTCGCATCTAGATTTTTACCCGCAGTGGGAACAATAGCCAGAGGTGCATTTGGAGTTGGAAGGAAGATTTTGAGTACATTAGGTATACTAAAGAGAAAGCACAACCTATTATACAAACTGTACAGAAAGGTTGGGATGTAGCACGAGATGCAACAAATCTTATTCCAAATCCTGAAACAAGAGGAAAAGTTCAAGGATGGATGGACAATGTAGGAAGACAAGCAGGAAACTATTATAACAAAGCAAATGACTACTATAACCAAGCAGGACACTATATGGACCAAGGTGAAAGATTCTTTAACAGAGGATATAACCATGCACAACAGTGGGTAAACAATAACCAACCTCAACCGCCTCAAACGTGGAATGTAAAGTTTTTTATTGAGATGAAATGAACAATGCAGCTTTAAACAGAATAAGTCATGGAAGACCACCTTTTACACCACGTGTTTGTAAAGTTCTTCCTATACCTCAGGAAGTTTTAGACCGACTTAAAAAACCTAAACAACCAGTTGAAAACAAACCAAACTAAAATTTTTTACTGAGATGAAATGACCGAAGAAGTTGAAACGGTAGATTTGACACCACAAACAAAAAGTTCAGAACCATTGTCAAAACCTGTCAAAGAACTTACAGATGAAGAGAAAAATTCAATAATAGAAAGTGCCAGGTCTGGAAATACAAACCCTAACTATAAAGTCACTTTTCATAGAAATGGAACGGCTAGTATCTCAAAAAAGAAACAGACTCTCACAAATAAAATATTGAAGTCTGAAGGAGCTTTCGAGACAACAGATGGAAAAGTTTACTTCACTGACCAACAGTTCATTATAGAACATCTCATTGACTTAGAGTCGAAATATTCTAAACTTTACAACAAACACAAAAAGTTGAAAGGAAAACAAAAACAAATGGCATATGATATTTATGAAGATGTTGACGACACAACTGTTCCTGCAAGTGAAGTAAAGTCAGAGGAACCGAAAAGTGACGAAAAACCGATAGAAGAAGAAAAACCAAAAACTGAAGATAAACCAAAACCAAAGTTTAGTTTCCAAACTAAACCAAGTCAACCTTCATTAGCTGGTATGGGTTGGCGTCAAAGACTTATGGCAGCAGGCGGTTATGTAAAGTAAAGAAAAAAATTTTTTTATTTTTATAAAAATGCCCCCATATAGAATGGATAGAAAGTCTGCTAGAATAAAAGCAGAGTTACAAAGATATGGTTGGAGAGTTTCGAAGAATTTTAAATATAGGAAGGGAAGACCCATAAAAGTCTATGACAAATTGTCTGGTCTTCGCTACGAAATGGATTTGGAAACAGCACGTGCCAATTATCCAAACAGACTAGAGAGGTTAGAAGAAGAACGTCTTATGGACATGCCTTTCGATGTTAGTGAACCTCAAGTTGAAGGACACGACGGCTTTGCCAGATTCTACTGGAAACATGACGAACAATTGCATCCTTTGAGAAGGAAAAAAGGAAAAGGTGAAGACGCACATGCTCCCATGGAAAGAACAAGATATGCATATGAAAAGTATCGTGAAGTTAGAAGTCAAATTACATCTGGTCGAACCTTTACAGTAAACTTTGACGAAGGAAAGAACAAAGAAGGCTTCATGGGAGTACTTGCTGCAATTCAAGACGGAAATAAGAAAGGACACAATCTCAGATTGACCATAACAGATTTGGATGGTCACATTTACTATGCACATGGCAATGAACAAACAGCCGCAAAACTTCTTGACGCTTTCAAGACTACAAAGAGAGAACAAATGGTTGACTCCGACTCAGACATTTTGAATGCAATTGAAGGAATTGCAAGTGTCAAGTTCGAATGGTACCAACCTAACCCTCAAGCAGTCAGACAACATGCTGGATACTTCCCGTTCATAAATAAGTCTGACATTGACTTGACAAGGTATGGAATTTACAATTCAATTGAAACAATTGTCAATGAACCTTGCATTCTTACATGTCTCAGGAACTCTGGTCTTGTTACAGATGAGAAGATGAAGTATCTTGAGTCATGTGTGAAGACAAGGTACATTCTCAGAGGTCAATTGGCAAAAATTGCACCGTTGGCAAATGTCAATATCCGAGTCAACATACCTACAGCTAAAGGTTCTTCACATGACGACTATGTTGTTGACAAAGACTTACCATGGTTGAAGATTGTAATTGTCCACAACCACTTCATGTTGAACGAAAGTCTTACAAACCCATTCTTTGGTAAAAGTAAGTGCAACATTGTCAGAGCTGTAAACATTCTTTTCGAGAAAGGTTTGTTGGAACCAATTCCAGATGACAAGCTGACAGAAACTTTTGTACCAAAAGACGAAACAAACTTTTCATTGTTAGCAAGACCAAAAGTTGTTCCAGACAAAGTTCTAGTACAAAAGAAGTACACAGTTCCACAAGGGGTTGGTATGTTCGGATACCAACCTGAACCAGAAGAACTTCCAATGAGGTTGCAAGAACTTCAAGATGCTATAAACAAACTTCCATTGAGACATCCAATTGACGTCAAATTGTATTGGAGAGCATCTGAGTTAGGTCAGAAGGTTTTATATGAAACAGGTTGCTTCGACGATGTTTATGAGATAACAGGAGAAGTTTCTCAGAAGATAAGAGACTCACTTGAATTTCCACAAACTGGACCAATTGGTTGCGACAAGTTCGACTCAGATGAAAAGATATACTATGTCGACCTTAACGCTGCATACATGAGGTTTGTCCAATATATTCCGACTGGAATTCCAAACGAAGATGGTGAGTTCCCGGGAAGGAACTATACAGTTGGAAAAGTCATACAACAACTGTATGATATTAGGAAAGCTTCAAACCCCAAACTTGCAATGACACTCAAATTGCTTATGAATTCGACATGGGGATATTCCATTAAGAAACCTCAAGAGATGAAGAGTAAACATTATGAGAAGGTCGACAACTTTGTTGAAAGGTTTTCTCCTTTTGTTTTGAAGTACGAATTCACTCAAGGTCAAAGTGGCTTAGTAACCACATTAAAACCTATTGTCGAACATTGGTCTTACCCTCAGTTCGCAAAAGCAGTCCTTGACGAGTACAACAAATTCTTCTCCGAAGTCAAATCAAAGTCAAGGTTTACTATGAGAACATTGACGCACTCATGACGAACGAAGAAGGATACAACAAACTCATTGAAATGGGAAGTCGGTGAAAAGATGGGTCAATTCAAATTGGACAAAATTTTCACCGAAGTTCATGTCCTCTCCAAGCGTAAGTACTGGGGTGTTAAAGAAGATGGTGAAATAGTTAAACATTGCATGAAATAAAAAATTTATTTTTAAAAAAGTGACATTTTTTTAATGGCGTACATCCCTGAGCGCTTCGTCCAGTTCAACCAAATGTTGGTCTCGGACCCAGGCAAGAGATATTCCAAGCCCGAACTCGACCGTCTCTTCAAAGAATGGATTGAAGACTACAGAGGAGACGAGTGGTTGACAATTGAATTTGCTCGGGCTTGGAATTGCTACAGAAGGGTCTTAGACGTGGACCCAAGACTCACGTACAGAGGTTGGGATGTGGTCTTCACATTCCAAAATTGGTACGAATACCAAAAATAAAAACTTAAATTTACTTGGGGTTTCCCCCTAAAATAATTTTTTTTTACTCTTAGAACCACTCGAGGTTCTCCTTACGGTTGTTGAGCTTGTCACCGTCAATGTGTCTGACCTTCGTCTTCTTGTCTGGATTTGGAACCCATTGAATTGCGACAAGCTTGCCCATGGAGATTGAACCGCGATTCCGAAGGTTAAGGTTCAAGTGTCCCAAGTTGTTGAGGACTGGGGTAAGAACCTTGCCTGTCTCCTTGTTGCGGATTTGGTATGGGTAGGGTTGGGAAATTTCGTAACCGTCATCGGCAACAAGTGTTGCCCATGTAGCGGCTTCAGGAACTTCTTCTTCTTCTCTTCTTCTTCGTGTTTCTTTCTTCCTCTTCTTCCTCGACAATTCCTTCTTCAATTTGGTACTCACGAAGTACGTGTTGCATGTTCTGTCCTTTCCGAGTACCTTCCAGATGGCGTCTATCTCTTCGAAGAAACGTAGATGAGTCTGGCAAGGTCTCGGTTTCTCTCTCGTAATTGCGCAAGGTTTCCGCGAAATCGTTCAGCATTTCTCATTGGAAGCTTGTTCATGAGACATCGGCTTTAAGTTCCTTCATCTCTGTCATAAGACTACTTTGGAGAGTCTTAATGGTGTTTGTCAGACGAGCTTTCAATTGGGCAATTTGAATTTGAATTGGGCGCTTGTCTGGCAACCTTGAAAGGACATCTGCCATTGTGTTCGGCTTCGGTGCTTGTTCGGACATCGAAAAAATGAAGTGGTTTGAGAATGACGGTTTTACTTCAAAAAGCTGGTTATGACAGTTAAGTCATACAACAAGTTTAAAATAATATCTTGCTCTTCTTCTGAACGTTTGTTGTCTTCTTCCGATAAAAGTTTCGAACATGAGAACCAAAAAACGTTTTTTGAGGAACCGAAAGAGTTCAGGCAAATTTTCATATTCTGGATATGTTGGGAGCAGTTCAAAACATCTGAGCTGACTTTCGGACAAAATTGGGACAATGTCAGAAAATTCATCTTTGGTCGGACTGCTTGAAGGTAAGTCCCTTACATGTAAGTAGCTCTGGTAAAGTCTTCTCATTTCTGCTAACTTTTGGATATAGCTTCGTAGTTTAGAAGTTTCAATTTTAATTGTCTTATTCCACTCTTTAATTCTAAACGGTAAGTATCCATGAGGTCAAGAGTAGCTTTGTAGCTTTAAGTGGAGCTATCTGTTCCTTGACTTGTGCAATTTTGGTTGCAATTGTGGTTTGAGCTCCTTCAAGTTCGCCGTCTATGTCGTTCTCAACACCTTCAACCATAGTTTGAAACTCTTCATCGGTCCATTGAGTTTGGTGTGGGACGAATTTAACTTGCTTCATTCAAAAAATGAAAAAAATGTTTTTACTCTAAACGTGCCATGTATATGGCTATAAGAAACTTACCAGAAGGCATCTTCTTCACATGAGTCTTTGGCAACTTGAGAGTTCTTGTTGGAGTTGGGTCTGGAATTTCAATTCTCTCTCGAGCGCAACAACAGATGTCAGAATAACATTCCCCACTGTCTTTCTTGCCACCATAAACTGTGTATTGACCGAACTTGCATTTACAGGAAGACCGGTCAATACAAAGTTCACAGTTGAAATAGTTGTACTCATACCTGGTGAGTACGAGTGTGAGTAAAAACATTAAAAAAGTGAGTTAAAATGAGATGTTTACTGAACTGGCTGAATGTCGCCTTCACAGGTTATGTAGAACGGCTGACCAGAGAAGTGAAGGAGACCCTTGAGAATTTGGTTCATTCTTGGGAAAGGGTTCTCTCTGTTTGGAAGTAGTATCCAAGGACGCTTGGCAAAGAACTTTATAATGGCTTCCTTCTTTGCTTGCTTTATGTCGTCGAAGGCTGTCCCGTCTGGTATTTGAATTGGAATTCCAGTCGAAATCTCGAGATTCAAGGCAGCCCTTCCCGTTATCCAACCGTTAACAAGCTTGTCTTTTACATTCTGCCTGAGGAAGTCTTTAACAAGCTCGTTAATTTCAATTAGGTAAATTGCCTCGTCGGTAGGTTCGACCTCGACCATTGCTACTGTCAGAAAAAGTACTGCTACTGTCAGAAAAAGTACTGCTACTGTCAGAAAAAGTACTGCTACTGTCAGAAAAAGTACTGCTACTGTCAGAAAAAGTACTACTACTGTCAGAAAAAGTACTGCTACTGTCAGTAAAAAGGAAAATTTGAGAGGGTTTTCGACGATAAAGTACTGCTACTGTCAGTAAAAGTACTGCTACTGTCAGTAAAAGTACTGCTACTGTCAGAAAAAGTACTGCTACTGTCAGTAAAAGTACTGCTAGTAGCAGAGATTTTTATCGTTGTGGTCCGACGGTTAAGCCACAAACGAATGTCCGACGTCCCACCAACCCAGTCCATTCCCAAACCAGAGGAACCTAAAGAACCACAACAGTCTCCTCAGCAACCTCAGTTCCAGCAAGTACCTCCGAATTACTACCAATTTCCACCTCAAGGTTACTACCCACCACAAGGCTTCCCGAACTACCCTCCTCAACCTATGCCTTACTTCCCCAACCCATGGATGTTCCAGCAAGCTCCACCCCGGCAATTCCAATCTCAATCTCAATCCAAGAGAGACCAAGACTTCGAAGAAGGTCTGAACCGCTTACGCAAAGAGTATGCTACAGCTCCAATGGAAGACGACAGGCTTTCAGTCTCTTCCCTCAAATCGACCGATTCGACTCGTACCACAGATTCGGTTCGTGACCGTGAAGACTACCTCAAGCAGTCTGAGAGACTCTTCATCCTACAACCATTTACAGTTGGAGCTCTCAAGAACATGCGCAATTACGAAGGTCAGACACCAGCTGGAGACCGCAAAACAGACGTACTCGCAAGAGCCGTCCAGCTCGTCAAAACAAAGACGGAGATAGTCGACTTCATACTTGCAGCTTGCCCTTACAAGTAAAAAAATAAACAATTACGAATTAAACTTTTTACTCTTTCTTTTCTGAGTTGTTTAGAGCTGGTTTCTCTTGTAGAAACCTTTCGTACTCTTCCATGGTCATGTAATTGCGAATTTGGTACTCAATTCCAGGTTCGTTGTTTTTGAACCTGATGTATGTAACGCTTCCATCCTCCTCAGGGAAGTAAGCTGCTAACATCTGACCAAGTTTTCTCGGTGACTCGGAGCTCATAAAAATGTCACTTTTTAAACGTTAAGTTTTTAGTCTTAATTTACCCTTTGTTTGTCAAGGTAGTATTGGAGTGCAATTTCTCCAAATTCTCTGTGTCGGAGTTCTTCAGCATTTTCCAAGGTGTACCTGGAGAACTCAAAGAAGTTGTCAAGAAGATACTGCCATGCTGCTCTTCTGAGTTCGTCGGTATTTTGGAAGTGTTGCACCTTCGAGTCTTCGGACATGAAAAAAATGACACTTTTCTATTAAACCGTTTTGGCATTTCTCATGAGTGAGTATAGTTCTGCCGAACCATTGGAAGAGAAGAAGTACCCTTGCTGGCAAAAGACAAAAATAGTTGCCTTAGTTGTCATTGCAATTGTACTCGTAATTGAATTCATTGTACTTCTCTTCACGTACATAAAACTCAGCAATGGTATTTGCTTTAAGAAGCTACCATCTTACTAAGACTAAACACTTAGATTTTTCAAGCTTGACTTTTTACAATTTGAACTTTGTTTGCGTAGATATGAATTCTGAAAGAAGTATGAGGGTCTTGTATGACTTTGTACTTCTCCCATAGTTCATGTCTGTCAAACTTACCTGCCATGGACTCTTTCATAAGTTCCATGAAATCGTCTTCGGACAATCCGGGGAAAAGTATTATGTCAGTAAGTATTCTTTTAACATCCTTACTTAAACTCTTTGCTGTCTGTACACAAATGACAACTGAGATGTTAAAGTGTCTGAGCTTCTTAAGAATTCGACACATATCTTGTTCTCTATTCTTTAACAAAGGATGAGAGGCGAAATCATCTAAGATAAGAAGACATCTATGAGGGTAAGTCTTCCAATCGTAAGATTGCAATTTCTTCGAAATGTATTCTATCTCTTTCTGTTTGTTTCTGAAGTGTTTCTTCTCTAATATTCTCTGCATTTCCTCATTAGGGTCTTTGAACTTAGAATTTATATACTCATTTATAGCATTATACTTCAAAACTCTTCTTTGGTACTTCTTTATCCAATCTAACAACTCAGTATCCTTTATACATACTAACTTAGACTTCTTTATAATATCTTTGAACGAATTGACGGTTTGGTCAAATTGACCAGAAGTCGAACAAATAACAACTAACTCATAGAATGGGTTCTTCTCATCTAGTTCTTGTTGTTGTGCAGCCATTTTAAGATAAGTGAAAGTCTTACCCGACCCAGGTGGTGCAATTAGACCTGTTATACCATTCTGAGCAAATAAGAACTTTTCATGTATAGGCTTTATCTGAGCATTTTCTAACTTCCTCTTGTTCTTGTTTAAAACATTCTCAAATTTCTTGTCAATGTCAGCAAACTTTTTTTCTAACATATTTTTAGAAAAATTAAAATTTTTATCTTTTAGAAAATGTCTAGCGATTTCGCTATCTATATTCGAGACAAACTTTTTGACAGCAAAACATCTGTCGACCATAAAATCTTACATAGTGTAAACAAGAAAGGTGAATTTGTTCTAAAGTTCTGTTTCTGGGAATATGACAAGAACCATAAAACATTACAAAGAGCAGTCTTAAAATTTGTCAATGACAGACTTGTTGACAGAAATGACGCCGATTGGAAAGATGAAGTCCAACAAAAGTTCTTAGAATGCAAAGAAGACACATGCGCTGTTCTTGAAGATGAAATAGAAAACAGAATAGATGAGCTATTAAAGGACAAAGAACTTTTACATAAATATGGTTCTGAGAAATTTGACGTCTCACCACCAGAAAAGAAGAAGAAAGAAAAGAAAGAGAAAAAAGAAGAAGAGAAGAAAGAACCTGAACCAGTTTCAGAGAAAAAGAAATTTGACATGTAAAAATAAAATTTTATTTTTAGAACATTTCTGGGTCAATGTCAATGTTCTCTTCCTCTTTAGGAGTAAACACTGGCTTAGACTCTAAAATCTTTTTACCCAATTTACCTTGAACTTCTACAACTTTAGACTCATAATATTCATAGTCGTCTGTCTTCTTTGGTTCATAAGGTATAACAAGTTTGTATGCTTTGCCTTCTTTAAGGTTTGAGAACCTTCTGTCAAAACTTTCTTTGACTGTTAACAAACCTTCTATGTCTAAGTCTTCAAATTTCGCACCATTTTTAGTCACAATAGCAAACTTAACTGGTTCGATGTTCCAAACTTTGCTGAATGAAGACTTTTCAAAATGGTAGAAGTAAACATTCAAATATGTGAATGGGTCTAGTTCTTCTTTAAGTCCTGACATGTACTTGTTTACTGAAATATATTTCGTCATCTTTTCTATCGGATAAAAAAATATTTTTTTAAAATTTACTCAGAAAAATTTTTCTTTGTATATACACCATTCTGTACGTCTAAAAGACTTTTGACATTTGCCAAGAATGTTCGTTTAGACGCTGGCATATAACCATACTCTTGACAATATTGTTTATATTCATCATATAAAGACTTTTCATCTAAACACTCAAAGTCGCTTTCTTCTATGAACAGTTCATATACACTCTTGTTTGCTTCTAACAATGTTTGTCTCTCTTCGGTATGTGGAATTTGTCTTGGATTGAACTTAGAAATATCTAATGTCATGAAATATGAGAACAAGTGGTTGTAAAAGTCAGATGTCAAAGTTTCTGCTAAGTCGTCAAAATATTCTGTATCTTGCATATGAGAATCTGACGTTCTGACAACTACATATCTTCTGTCAGAACTTTCTAACTTCATCGGAACAGCATTGTTTGAAACCATAATGAAGTTTGCAACATTTTCACAAACTCTTTGGTCTTTATACTTTCTTTCAACAACTCCAACTTTGTCTGTTATAAGACTCTTCAAAGCATCTGAGTTCAAAACTTTTGTTGTATCTATACTTTGAAGTTCATTGCAAACTATAAGTTTCATATTCTCTATTGAGGAGTTAAACTTGCCACAGATGTTTTCTAAGTTTGTCATATTCGGATTCGAATAACCTTCTAACAGTTTGCACAAAATATCTGTAAAGAAAGTATTCTTACCTGTTCCTTGTTTTCCAATTATAATGAGAGCAGTTTCATTTTTAGCACTTGGATGTTGTAAGATGTTTGCAAACCAACATAAGATATACTCATAAACCTTTTCGTTTCCATTGCATATAATTTCTTTGACATGGTCTAACCAAGCTTCTATAATATTTTCTTTCCATTCTACTTGTTCATATTTATATCCAGTGAAGATAGAATAGAAGTTTGGAGAAGGTGTATAGAAACTTTATACCTCGAACTGAAAAATCTTCTAACTTTGACAATAAGATATCCCAAGCATCTAACATCTTCATGCCAACTTGTACGACTTTTATTTTCTTAAGTTTCTGTCTACATTCTTGTTCTGAAACTATTGTTGCTCTTGGTTTGTTAAAGACAACATCCCATTCTTTCATGACATAACATTCTGGGGCAGAGTCAACATAAATGACTAAACGTTTCAAATTCTCGACTGCTTTGTTATAGTCTCTAAATGGACACATATTTCTGAATGCTTGGAAGTCATAAAAATCTGAAACATCTATTCTGTACATTTTTATAAAAATAAAAAAATATTATTTTTTTATTCTTGACTTTTGTTGTTCCATTTGTTGCATTTGTTGTTCTTGAGCTATTTGTTGTTGAAGTTGTTCTTGTAATACAATACTTTCACCAGTTGCATCTTCCAATTCGAAACTTTCTGCCGTCATTGACAAATACATAGGACATAAAAGTTTTACAGGAACAAAGTTTGCGTCAACTAATGTCAACGTTATACTTGCCAAAGTGTTTGAGTTCACTAAGGTTGAAAATTCTGCATTCGAATGAACAATAGGCAAACCAGCAGAGAAAGTATTGTTTATACGCATAAGTATCTTTTGGTCATAATAGTTTCTGTCGACATTCGAATAACACTTTGAACCTAAGTTTGAAACAATATATAAGATTGGTGTGCTTAATGTCAATGGAATAGACATTCCTTGTATGACACCTTTTCCTGTTATAGGAAACTGTTGGTAGTAAAAACCAGAAATAAGTTTTGTATTATAGCTCATATCGTTTATAGTAAACTCAGTCGGACATCCAAACATAATGAAACCTGCTCTAGTTGCAGCACATGTTACACCGTACTTAAAGTATTAAATAAGTCAACAAAACCTGTTGGTTATATTCTGAGTAAGTATCTTTCAAAGGAGTATTTTTTACCATTCACAACAATAAAGTCTTCTGGTGTCAAAAGAGCAAAACAGGCTTTTAGTCGTCATTGTGTTTAAGGTTAGTTTACATATCGTCCTTGAGGACTTTGTAAGTTTGTTGTTATAGAATTATATGACTCAGGGTTTTTAGTCGTAATAGTATAAACCATTATGTCTTCTGCCATTTACTTAGCAAATAAATTTTAATGAAATGTTGTGGTCGTCAAATTTTTTATAACGTCTGGGAAACTATATTTTAAGTTCAACGTTTCACCTCCTTTCATAACGTATATCTTGTCAATGACATTATATGAAACACCACAGCAACCAATGTCGGGTTCTATTTCTTTGATGTTTATATCGTCTGCCTCTGTCAAAAGTTTCAATAGTTCTTTCAAAACTTCATGAGGTGCAATGACATATGAGTTCACTTTTACAGGGTTGTGTTCGAACAAGTTTAACATTATACTTAAAGCTTGACAAATCTTCTCCTGAGTTTGAAGTTTGTCTTTCAGTTGTTGGTAGTCGTTTCGAATATCTGCAACAGAACTTAAGTCTTCTTGTTAACTTCAGGATATGTTGGTTCTTTTACAGGAACAATTGTATATACCATCTTCGTCTTCTTATGGTTTCCCCACTTCAACATCTCTGTCTTTGACATGACAATAACACTTTGACTGTTTGTTTGAGTTGGTGAATTTAACTTCACATCTGCCACCGCCATTAAACCTTTTGAAACACTTACGCTTCTATTTTTCGGAAATGACATTTTACTTAGAATAAAAAGATGGACGTATTCGGATATCTTATTGAATTGAAGCAGAACAAAGTTTATACTCACAAACAATACAAATACATTGACAGAATAGTTCTTTACACAAACAATGGAAAATGTTATAGAATAGCAAGTCTTTGCTGAACCTAAATATTTTCATAAAGCAAAGAAAGTTGGTAAACTGAAATGGTGAAAGTTCTTGAAGCAGACAAAAATATAACTTCAAAACTTACAGATATTACTAAAGGAAAGTTTATAATACAATATTATGTCAAAACTGGCGTAACTGTCAATATTGACGGAGAGAAGTCAGTTCAAGAACAACTTACTGACCTGCTGCCAAATCTGCTCGATGGAAGCTGTCGTTATGCCAATCTGAGGAGCCCAGCAGGTTTCATCGAACGAATCTTCAAAAGAGCATCTTCCGTGAAAAGTGCTATTGTTTTGTAAACTTCTTTGCTCTCAATTCATCTGGACCGTCTCTGTCACCAGTATATTGTATTTGAACTGTACCAACAGTTGAAATACCACCCATAAAGTCTTCTGAGTCAGCAAATGTAATGCCAAGCCAAAAGTTTGAACGGTCTCCATTTGTATATTGAGTTTTTTGACCTCCTGTATGAGTCCATACTTTCACATATGGCATAATAGAACTTTGCATTTCAGGGTTAATAGTTGTTGTGAAGTTGTTGTTAAAGTTCATAGCATCTAATGTCAAGTTGTATGACCTCATATCCTCAACTGTAGAATATTCTTCTCTTGGATAATATTTGCCATCTATGTTTATATGATATTTAATACCAGGGTTGTAGAAACAAGAATAGTCATTTATAGTTCGTCTGAACAGTACAAACATAGTATCTGCATGTTTCATTGCAGTTGTTAAAGCAATATCTGTTCTTTGCACCTGCGGCTCCTGGATTTTGGTTTCCAATTCACTGCAAAGTCTTTGACAGATATTTGGTGTATAGGGAACATAAGTGGAACTGCAATATATTTGGCAGCTAAAGCATTTGAAATATCTGGGTCCAACATATAGACTGCAAGTCTGCTTTCTATTCTCTTGCATTCAAACTGTTCGCATGTAAACTTAACTGGGTCCCAAGCAGTTCCAGCAGCATTGAAATAATAGTTTACTTTATTGTTGAAGTTTGAGAAACCAAAGTCTAAGTCAACTTTGTCTTTGCAAAATTCGGCGAATGACGTTTGATTTGTTCCCTTTACGTCTGTAATAGTGAATGGGTCTTGTGTTGGTGCAATGACTAAGTTATTTTTGCTTGGAGTAAGTTCGATAGAAATTTTCCTGCCCAGTTTGGCAAGTATCTTAAAAACCTGAAGATGAGGAAAGATGACAAAGGAACTCTAAGTTTCAGTTTTACTTTAGTGGCAGCAGTTCATCTGAACCAGAAAGGTTAACATAAACTCCTGGAACGTTAGGGTCAAGTCTTCTTATTTCTCAATAGTTGCATACTGGTCTGTTTGTTTCTAGCTTGTGGTTGTACTGAGTTTCTCAAAGCGAACCATTCATAGTTTGCCCATGTTACTGTTTGAACTAAGTCAGAGTTAGAATATATCTTATATCCCATGAAAACTTCTGGAGCATATTGGTATCCGACATAGAAAATTCCATTGCAACCTTTCTTGTCAGACAACTTGGCAGAAGGTTTTATTTCAATGTCTTGTTCCACGTATAAGAATGAGTTGTCAATAGAAATAATATGAAACCTGTCGCAAGCAATATCTACTGTTGTTGAAGAACCTTCTTCAAACTCACCTACGTTTCCATAAGAAACAGCAGTTGTATATTCGTAAGTTCCAGGAACTATTTCTGACCTTCTAATGGCATTGTCGCATTCGTTATACCATTCGGAAACATTTCCGTTCATGGCATCCAAAACTGTTGGCGTTATATTCTGAGCGGCGTACATTTCATATGGGTAAAAAATATAGAATAGTTGGATTTATATGTCATAATAGAACCCACTCGGACCAAGCTTTACTTTCTTCCTGACTGAGTTTTTAACTGAATCTTTAACTCTTCTTTTTCCTTCATTGCCACTACTTTCACTAGATGAAGTTACTTCTTCACTACTTTCACTTTGTTCTACTCTTCTCTTCTTCTTTGGTGTCGCTTTTGGTAACTTGCCCTCTGCTTCAAGTTGTTGCATCTTTGCCTCATGTTCACCTAGTATGTTGTAAATTTCCCATGTCCTTTTTGCCTTTGGGCTCTGGTCGCCCATCTCAGGTAACCTATATCCTAGAAAGATTTTGTCATAGTTTGTATTTGAGTCTTCGCGTATTGTTTGCATGACTCTTTCCTGAGTTTCCGGTTCAAGCTTCTTCAAAAAGAGCTTGTCCATATGGAATAAGCTCGTTTCCAAATATATGTTTTTGTAGCCATTCTGGTTTTCTTTCCATGTAACCAATAATATCTTTTGTGAATGGGAAAGCTTTTACCCAACGTTTCAGTCTTGCGTCATTTATTTCTGTAGTTGGTTTTATTTGTCAAGGAACATGTTTTTCAATACTAACATTTCATTTGGTACTGTCCATTTGAGTTTTCTTAAATATTCATCCCTTCTCAGTTCATTGTCTGCAAAGTAAGTTTTTATGACATTTTGCAAACTTTCGTTTGCAAGGTCATGTACAATAGGTTCTCTTCCTTCTCTCTCCCTAACTTTCTTTCTAAACTCTTCACCAAATATACCATCTCTATGGTTCTGTGTAGTTCTTTGAGATAAATGTTCTAGAACGTCAGGTGTTTATTTCCCTCAGCCATGTTCATTTCATACTGGTCCAAAATATCTGCATCTTTCATATCTTTCAATGGCATTAAAGCCGCGCTGAAAAATACCCGTTATATCTGGTTCACCATTCACTTCCATTGCGCCTACAACTTCTTGGAATTGAGGTTGTAAGTTTATGAACCACCTATCCGGATTAGCTTTATGACCCCATTTCATTGTAGTTCCATAGTCTGCAGAAACAAAAGTAGGTTTGTTTCCATATTGGTTAGGTTCTGAATGAACTTTAAACAATGTTTCATTTCTATATGTTTTGTTGAAATTTAACCTTTTATTTTCACCGAGTTCAGTCAAAGATTGAACGTTATATGGTCGTAAGTAAAAAGGATTATTGTATTTGCGTACATTTTCTTTCAGTACTTCCATTCTATGCTGAATATTTTCATCTGATGTTGGAGTCTTTTGTATGTCGGTGAACATTTTTCGATATTCTTCTACTATGTCAGCCGAATTTTTCTTAGACTCTTGGAAAGATTCCATATTCACCTCATACTCTTGTTGAGGGTCAAGATTTTTCGGCTGTTCCAAATCTTCATCTAGTTCTGTGAAGTTAGTTTCCAAAGGAGGGACTTGTTCGTTTCCTTCAGGCTCTTTTAGCTGTTGTTGCTGAACTATTTCTTCCATGTCTGGTTGTATCTGAACTTCTTCCTGTTGAGTTTCTTGTACCTCATCTGCTGGCATTTCATATATTCCGAGACCGTTTTTAACAAGTTCCCTATCTAAGTCATCCAGACTCATAAACCTTTCTTCTTTCGTTCCGTTTCTATTTTTACGCGTTTCATGAAGAGAGTTGAATTATCATTTAGCTCTGACATCAAATATCTCGGAGTAAATTCATTCATGTCATTTGGATGATATGCTATTAAATCATATCCCTTAGCGAGCTTGTATTTTCCAGGTTTGAGATTATATCCCATTTGATGCTGAACCATAAAGCTAAATAGGTTCGGGTCAGTATTTCCTTCCTTGAACTTTCTAATAGCTTCTTTATATCTGTCACTAAAGTCAAGAGTATCTGGGTAACCATAATCTTCCTTAAGCATTTTTAAGAATTCTTGGTTTCCTTTTTCTCTACTTCTTTTATGTCCTTGCTCTGTTTGTGGTTGCTGTGCAGGGTTTTGAACTGTTGGTTGCTGTGCAGGGTTTTGAACTGTTGGTTGCTGTGCAGGGTTTTGCTCTGGTTTTGGTTGTGGTGCTGGATTTTGAACTGTTGGTTGCTGTGCAGGGTTTTGAACTGTTGGTTGCTGTGCTGGATTTTGAACTGTTGGTTTTGGTTGTTGTTGTGGTGCTGGATTTTGAACTGTTGGTTGTTGTGTTGGTTTTGGTGCATGCCTGTGTCTGTGTCCATGTGACGATGTAAATGTTTTAGGTAGTCCTGGTGCAGGTGCTTCTCTTGGAGGGTTTGGTGGTATATAAGTTCCACCAGCTGGCACATATGTTCCATCTGCAGCATAATGTCCTACCTGACTTTTCGTTTTTAAGAAAGCATTTACTAGGTCTGTTTTGGTCTGTTGTAACTCTTTTTCTTGACTTTCCACAACAGTTGCTCTAACGGCGTCATAGGCACTTTGAACTGCCTGTCTAGTTGCTGCATCTGTTATTTTCGTCATATTTTGTGCTACTTCTCTTAACTCTTTGTCGAAACCTTCAGACTTCAGTTTCTTTCCAGATGAGAAGTCGTTCACTAGTTTCACCTTACTATGAAGAGCTTCGAAGGCATTCTTAAAGTCAGCATTCATTAAAGCTTCATTTGAACTGTCTTCATCCGCTTGTATTTTTGTCCTTATTGACCCTATAAGTTGGGCTGCTTTAGCGTTGGCTTGGGCATCTAACCAGTCATTATTAGCTTTTATAATATCTGCGCTTTTCATTGCCTTTTGCATGGCTGCGTCGTTATTTTTACTTTCTTGTGCTAAGTTTTCATACTGTACGGTTTGTTTTTGCAACTGTAAAAGTTTTTCTGCCTTTACATTTGCTTCAACTTCTTTTTTATACTCATCGCTATCCATATATGTCTTCATGGCTTTTTGTTTTATCTCTTCATCTTTCAGTACTTTATATTGAGTAGTATGGTTTTTCAAATTTATAACATCTTGTTCCATTTTTGCTACTTCTGCTGCTTTTTCTGACACTTTTTTCGCATATTCCTCTGTACTTAGTTCTTTCAGTTGTTTTTCTTTCTTCTTTTTCTCTACGTTTAACTCATTGAGTTTCTTTGTGTGTCTGTCATATTCTAGTTTCTTTTCGTTTTCACTTATTTGTTTCTGTATGTCTATGTTTGACTTTTTGACATCTGTTATTTGATTTTTGAGTGAACTCAAATTCATTTGACTTTGAGGGTTATAAGCTGTTCCGTCTGCAGCTCCACCATAGCCTGCCATTTTCGCTAAAAGTGCCGCTCTTAAACCTCCACTCTGTGCACCAATAACTCGGTTTAAAAGCATAGGGTTGCTTGACATTTGTTGCAACATAGTGGGGTCATTCATCATTTGTTGTTGCAACTGTTGTTGTGGTGTCAGTTTTGCTATTGGATGTTTCAATGCTCCCTTCCTCTTACGTATATTCTTACGTAGCTTACGTGGCATTTTAAGTGAAGTTAAAAAGCGGTTTTTGACAGATGTTTATATGACACTTTTTGTTCAGCACAAAAAACTACTCGGTCAAAGTGTTGTCAGTTTTGTAAAATAACCGTCTTATCTCATTCTATAAGGGGAAAAAGGCTTCTCAAAGTATGCTTCCTTGGAACGCCTGTAACTTTTTCTGTAGCGACGATAGACCCTTACTTGTCCGGACAAAGTTATACTATTTTGAGTGCTCTACAAAAAAGTCAACGGCGACGACTCTCAAAAACCGTTATGTAAAAAGTTTTACCGTTGGACAAAAAAGTATATATAGAAAACAAAAAACGTTTATAGTTCATTCAATATTTGAGATAAACCGTTTTTCCAACGGTCACTATTAAATAAAATAAAAAAATAGAGGGGTCTCCGTTGACGAAAACGGTTTATCTCAAACTTTTCTATGAGTGGTCCGAAAAAAACAGTTCATTTTTATCTAATGGAAGCCAACGCTGTTAACCACAATTCAAACATTAACAATTCTCAACCGCTAACCAAAGCCAAAGCCCCACAACCTCCAAGAACCGGCACAGCGGTTAGAATAACCACCAAAAAGTCTAACAGCGAATTAAGAGAAATTCTTCAACAAATTTGCTCTAAATATCTCAAAGACGCCGAAGAAAACACACAACCAGACGCTACATACAATACTCAGTTCTGTGAAGTTCTGAACAAAGCAATTACTAGTTCAATTGAACTTACTAAGACAATTCCAAGTCCAATTGAGCTTAGCGATGTCTTAGTTCAGTATTTTCCAACATTTACTAAGCTTATAATGTTGAGAACTTTATACCAAGTTCGTCAAAATCTTCCTCGTTACATCCAACGGTCATTCGACACGAGAATTGCCGAATTCCAAGTCTTTAGTTACGGATATGACGAAGATGAATACGTTGACGAGTTCGGAGACAACTGTACAAAATGGTTTGAATGTTATACGACAACACAATTTGAATTCGACTTTCTCGAATTCAACGCAGCAACCATTCATATCATTGCTCTTTACCTTTCCGAACAACAACAAGACCTCGCAGATGGAGATGTTGTTACTGTCGTCATGAAAACTCCTGAACAATTCGGAAAAAAGAAGTCTCTAATTGCCAAATTCGTTCCAGGACATCAGCTTTTCCAACGCACAGAAGTCTTCTGTATTCTTGGAACTAAGTTCTTTGTCAGGAGCGAACTCAAAGAAAGATATAATGTGTCATTCAATTACACATTATATAATGTTTTCGACCCAGAAGAAGGCTTCTTCCCAGAAGCAATGGAGGAGGAAGAAGAGGAGGAGGAAATACAAGACTCTATCCAAGAAGAGTCCTCCGAATTCACACCAGAAGACTAACAATTTTCCGAATAAAAACTTCATTTATACTAAACATCTTCGGGGCTAGAGGGCGCAACGCGCCTGGAAGCCCCACTCACCTGACCTTATTAAATAATAATAAATATGAAATGAAAGAAAATCATATAACTCAATGATAAATATGAAATGAAAGAAAATCACATAAAGCAATAACTGATTCCTTTTTCCCTGAATATTGATTTCATCCTGTCCTTTGCACCATGATCAACAAGAATGTTAACAATTTCCTTAAGGTTTAAGCTTTTGGCAATAGATAGAGGGCATTCGATAATATAAAAAGAACTTGATCAAATAATGATATATGTGAAATAATAAAGAAGATTTTAAAACAATGAAAGATGTGAAAAGAATGTGAATGTTATAAAGAAACGATAGATATATTAAGATGTAGGGATGCGTTAAACACGCCATTTGACCGGGCGTACATTTTTTTGTTCGCCCAAAAATTTCGCCATTTGAGAAATTCAAAAATTAAAAATAAAATTTTAATCTTGATTTTTTTATTTTCGTGATTTTTTTGAAACTTACATAAGCGATGAAATACTTTTTTTAAGTAATCGTTTATTATATATAAATATATCTTAATAAATTTAATTCCTTAAGGTAGAGCGTGTTCAAATTTAAAATCTCATACAATATTTTCTTAATGGCGTATTTTTCTGAGGTCGCCCAAATAAAGGCGAATTCAAAATTGAGAACTCCAAGGCGTATGGCGAGTATTCAAAAAGTACGCCACTTACAAAATATTGAATGTGGATTATCAATTTTTTGGCGTGTTCAATTTCAAATTTTGATATTTATGTTTATTTTATTCAGTATAATGTTAAGAATTAAAATATAAAATTCATAGAATTTTTTCTTTGAAAATATTTTACATTTTTATTAGACCACTCCTAGACTAGTCATCAGGTTATCCTCAGATCATCCTCAGACTACTCCTTATCAGATTACTCATCATCCTCAGACTACTCCTTAGACCCCTCCTCATCAGACTACTCCTCAGATCTTCCTCATAAGACTCCTCCTCAGATCTTCCTCCTGAGACTACTCTTCAGACTACTCCTTAGAGTCCTCCTCATCAGACTAGTCCTGAGACTAGTCCTCAGACTACTCCTGAAACTACTCCTCAGATTATCCGCAGACTCCTCCTCAGATTATCCTCAAACTACTCCTCAGTCTAATCCTCAGACTCCTCCTCAGATTATCCTCAAACTCCTCAAACTACTCCTCGGTCTAATCCTCAGACTCCTCCTCAGATTATCCTCAGATTATCACTTTACATATATATATCGATAACTAAATAATTACTTATTATACTTTCTTTATTTTTTTTAATTTTAAAATAATATTAATATATCTTTCTACGGTTAATGATGAAAAGAGAAAGAGGAGTAAAAAGAGGAAAGAGAAAAGAAAGAGAGAGAGAAAAAAAAAAAGAGAAAGAAAGAGAAAAAAAGGACGGCGATAATTTTGTATTGTTTTGTTATTCGGCCGAATGGCGGGTACTTCGTACCCGCCATTCGGCCCCAAAAATGGCGTATTATTCTATTTTTAAACGGTCATGGCGTAAAACCGTCGCATCCCTATTTCAGAACAGCCTTAACGGCTAAGATTTAGGAACAATGTTAAGTATCAAAAAGAAAGGAGGTCTGATATAGACAACATATATTGTTGAAGGTTGAAAAAATCTCTAATATTTGAGCCCAAAATTTCAAATTTTAATTTTTTGAAAAAAAGAGGCCACCCGTATGTACGTTTATTTGAGAGGAGGAGGATTATATTTTTGAAAGGGTGAAACATTATGAATATGTTAATTATATAATAATATGTTTATTATAAAAAAGAAAAAATAAAGCACGTTAAAATTTTTCTTTCTTGATTTTTTACAAAATCTACTTAGAATTATGCAAAATATGACTAAATAATTATAAATTTCAAGTTAAATTTTAATTTTGATAAATAATTTAAATTTCAAAATATCAAGTTCAGTTCGACTATGTATGTAGTAATTCCTCAATAAAGTGCCAAAACCCTATTAAAATATATGAACATTTTCAACATTTTAATGTTTTTATTTAAAATTTGATGGAATATGAGCTTCAAACAATTATTATGTAAATAAAAATAATTAAATATATGTATTTATTCGTATTACAACCGTAGTAAGTCGATTCTTCCTTTCTTCTACTGAGTTTTGAATTTGATTTCGAATTGTAAAGAGATTCAAAGGGAAAATACTAGCGGATAAAAACTACCTCCATGAAAGGGTCATAATGGAGTCAAGTTGTATTTTTTGATATTTTTTTGCTTTTCGAGCCTAAATAGGTAGCCAAGATAATGCCTAAAAATAAGGTTCTAAATTCTGAAGTTTACATGATCCTCTCGTGTGCACCCTTAAAGGGCTTTCATTAATACGAATAGGATTTCAGAAAACAATGATAGATATGATATGAAAGAGAATTCTATAAAACAGCATTGGACATAAGATTAAAGAGAATTCTATTAAATATTGATTAATATAAAAAGGAAGAGAGCCCAATTAGACAATAATGAATATGAAAAGCAAGAGGATTCTATGAAATAATAACATATCTTAAAAGCAAAAGAATTTTATAAAATAACAATAGATGTGAAAAGAATACAAATGCAATAAAATGATAACAGATATTAAAATAAAGAGAATTCTATAAAACAATGATTAATATAAAAGAAATGAGAATCCAATTAAGCAATAATATATCTGAAAATAAACTAGATTTCATAAATATAATGAGAGATGTGAATAGAAAGAGAATTTCATAAAGAAATGATATATGTAAAAAAGAAAAAGAATATCATAAATGAATATATAACGTCAAAAACAAATAATAAATATGAACTAAAAAAGAATATCATAAGTTAAATAATTGATATGGAATGAAAATGGATTTCATAAAAAGATGAGAGATATCAAAATAAAATGAATGTAATAAAACAATAATGGATATAAAAGTAAGGAAAATTCCATGATGTAATGATAGATATTGAAAAAAAGAGAACAGGATAAATCAATGACAAATATTAAAAGAAAGTGAATTCGATAGATCTAAAATGAATCCAATAAAACAAAGATAGACATTAAAAGAAAGAAAACAGGATAAAACAATGAAAAATATTAAAAGAAAGAGAATTCTTTAAAACTACAATAAATATGAAAAGAAAGAGAATATCAAATTTCGCTCCCTTTAAGTCAGCATTTTGAGAAAGTAAATATGAAACAACTTCATAGTTTCCAAAATACATAATTTCTGCTATTTGTGACTCATTTTGTTTGAAGTTTGTGTTAAGATATTCAGCAAGTTCATAATTTCTATAATCAAATGCATCTTCGATCAAATAATCAAAAATTTGGCCATCTTCAATCAGTTGCATTATGATGTTTTTGTTTCCGCCTTTAATAGCACATCTTGCACATTTTTTGGTGTATTGTGCTCCAAGATTCCTAAAGTAATTGAAGCATAATTCTGAACCATATTGAATTGCGCATTCAAGTGGAGTCACTTCCCTATTTATTTGTTCGTTGATATCAATATCAGGGAATTTAGCTTTTAATTCATCAATTTTGTCCCAAGCAATGTAGTATAAAGGAGAATCTTTTGAATATATGTTGAGAATTTCTTCTTGTTTTGATTGCGGATCAACTGTTTCATAGTATTTTGTGTCTACTTCAGGTGAGAATTTATCAAATTTTAAACCTCTATAGTATAGCAATATTGCCATTTTAAAATTAAATGGTCTGATCATTATTGAAAATTTTTTTGAAATCTTTTCATAAAACTCTGTATATTCAGCAATTAGCTTGCGTTTGAGAACTGAAGTGCAATCAATTAAATAAAGAGCCATTTGAACTGGAATTTTTTTGTCTTTAATGAGATTTATTATTTTTGTCATCGATTCTGCAAGATTGCTAGAATCTACTTCCCAAATAATGTTGGAAGCTTGAATAGGATATTCAAATACTTCAAGCGGTTTTGAATTTCTAATTTCTTCTTCCATTTAAAAAAGTGACATTTGTATCGATCTGAGTTATCGTTGGTTTTATCGGTTAAATTTGATGAAACACTGTAATTAAGCAGCTTTAAAGACAAGGATTTATTTTTAATCATCAATTTTGGTTTTGGGAAGAATTTTATCGAGTATTTTTTTCATATGAGATTAGTCACAAGCAATTTACTCCATTTACACTATTGAAATTTTGTTATGTATTGTAAAGAGTTTAAATTTTACTTTTTAACTGTTAATATTAAAATATCAACAAATTAAAATAAATTTGGTAAAAAATATAATATTTAGAAAGTATTTTTATTTCAAAATAAATTCTTTTCATGAAGGAATTTAATTACGCCTAACATAATTAGATGCCGTTTCCCATTTTTACCAAATCGGCCCTTCAATAGCCATTCTGTAGGAAGGTTAACTTTGGTATATGGGATTTCAATATTATCCCATTCACCATATCCTCTATAATAACAACTGTCACAAGTTTCTATGCGGTTACCATTGGCACAAGTTTCTTCGCTGACACTATTGTATATTACATTGTCAATATTTCTATAATAATTGATGTCAACTTCACTATCTCCATCTGGTGTTGGATCTGGAACGGCATCACCTGCACCGGTTATATCTTGCAAAATAAATGGATCTGCTGTGAATGTTGCATCTCGTGCTTCCATCGTTCTGCAGAAATATCCTGGTTCTGGGCATTTATACCAAAAACTTTTTTCATTATTATCGATTTTAAGTGTATAATATTTTTTTCTGTATCATGTTGATTGCATGTAATTTCTATGGCTTCATCACCGGGTGCTGCTTCATATTTTAATGAAAAAGATTTTTTATCTGCTGCGCATGAATATATTCCACCCTCTGTTCTATTTCCAGCAATTATTGCTTTTGGACTTATTCGTTTATTAGGATACTTGAGAAGCATATAATTAGTTTCTGCAACATTTGATATTTGTATAAATGCGTCTGGATTGTAAAAATTAGGATATTTGCAGTATTCATTAGATGGGATATTATATTCATCATTACATTTAGTTTCCACAAGGTAATTAGATAATATATCCCCAGTAAATGAAAAATCAAAAGAAGTTTGGTCATCATTAGTATAAGAATTGTAGAAATATCCATCAGGGTATATTCTTTGGGGAATTTCAGAGAGATATTCTCCTTTTCTCGTTCCTTCTGTGATTAACGGATTTCCATATATAATTGGTGACCCCTTTGTATAGTCAACATTTGTGAAAAATCCTGAATCTTTGAGAAATTCAAGTGTTACATCAGTTAGTCTAGTGAATTTTCCAGATATTGGCTGGACAATGACACCTGCAAGCACATCTTATAAATAGCGTCGAATGTTGGGATGAGAACTTGTTGATTCAGGAAATGTATCTAACTCAATACCTGAAGCAAAACTTTCTCCATTAATTGAAAGAGTGTTTCTATCGTAATGGTTTATTGCAAAAGTATGTGCGTTAGGTGTAATTAGGAAATTCCTTTTTCCTGAACGAAAAGTATTGCTATTAGAATATGGATCATTGCTTGTTGTTGGATGGAATTTTGGAAATAATATTGAAGAAATTCCGATTGCATGCAATGTTTCATGTACAAGAGACCAAAAGACTCTGGAATCATCTGTAGTTGCTGATTGGGCTGTTTTAGGGATCTTTTTTGAATTGATAAACATTACAGATTGGATAGGCCTTGAAGTTGCTTCATCAATCTGAACAATTGCTGTAAGAGCTTGCTTAGTTTCACATCCAAATGGTCTGACAAAAACATCTATCTGAACATCTGTATTATCACCTGAAATCATTTCAGTAATAGTTGTATCGAGAAAGTCCTTTGGATTGTAAGATCCAATAAGTGGATGAACTTTTAGAAAACTAGAAAAATAATCTTTCACATTATTTAATGTGTTTTCAAGGGCATTTTTCTTCGAATTTGATATCAGATCGTTTGCAGTGCAAGTGTATGTTTTATAATTCCATGTAATAGAAGTTCCAATTGTTTTGCAAATTTGATCATCATTTTCATAGTCGGGAAGGTTAAATTTAATTCTAATTGATGAATCAATTAATCCATAAGTTACTTGAGTAGCAAAAGGACTTTGTCTGCGTTGAAATTCATCATGACCGCAAAAATGAAAGAATCCTGCTTCAGTTATTAATAAAACTAATATCAATTTATTTGAAATCTATCGATTACTATGTTTGCATATTCGGAGAATGATAATTCATTCTCCTCCTATAATTCGAAATTTTATTTTGTCACTTTTGGATCTCCCAAGTCGGTTTACAAATTTTTTATATTGTCTTCATAGAAATGAGGTGAAACTGTACTCAAAATATAAAACATGAATCGTTTTCTACATCTTTCATATCAATAGAAAATAAAATGAATAGATGCAAACTATTAGGCTAATTTCTTAATAAATATATGCATATAAAAGTTGCAGTATCGTTAGAATCCATACTGATTGATATTTTAATGAGCATCTCTTAATTTCAAATGTGGGAATATGTTCTAAATGAAAAATTAATTTGACAAATTTTGAAAATGAAATAAAAGTTATATTGATCCACATAATTATAATATTTTACAAACAATAAACATACAAATATACATATATAATAAAAAGTATTATATTAAGTTTGTGCCTTTCTTAGCAATTTCCTTTTCAATCCAATCTTTTGACAAATTTCGAATTGTTATTAAAGGAGCGTCTTCTAAAGGTTCGAAATTCCTTTCATCTGATTTAGTTAATACAATAGGATGTCTTGGACTTGACTTATACACCAAAGGTAAGTTGCGCACAGAAACTGGATTTCTTGGTGAATTAACTTTTGGCACAAAAATTTTTGATTTTGTTTTTTCTATAATTTGTGACAAATTAAGAGGAGTCACAATTGGTTGAATTGGTATTTTCTCGTCTTGGTTCAGCAGCAAACGTCTTATTTCAGGTCTTGTGTACATTGTTCCTCTCCTGAAATCACTTGGCTTCCATATTCTGTCCTGGAAATTGTAGACTCTTAAATATGACAACAATTTTTGTTTTGGTTCGTAAACTCCTAATTGTCCAGTTGTTTTTCTCACCCAAACATATCTTGGTGTTTTAGTTGGTTCTACAGCCATTGACGAAAGACAATAAGACTTGAAAGGCGTGACAATGGGGATTGATACTTTTCTTCTTGTTCCGAATCCAGAAGTATAAGGTCTAAACAAAGAAACGGAACTTGCAGAAGCCAAAATAGTTTTGTAAACTTTTCTTCGAGTTCTGTCTTTTGTTTTATCTTCTTTTTGATCGAATCTTTCTTCTTCAGATATCAAAACATCTTCATCAACAAGGTCAGAAATTGTTTTCGGTTTTTGTAAACCACTCAAATCAGTTATATCTTTTCTTCTTAAATTTCTATAACTTCTTTCTTTAAGTAATGATTTCGATGGTTCTTTAATTCGTTTATTAAAGCTAATGATATCATCCGAATCTTCTTCAAACTCTTCTGATACTTCACTTTCCAAATTTGTGTCATTATATGTTTTCTTATTCAAATCATTGGAATAAGAATATCCAGGGAGAACAATCAGAGATTTATGGGGCTTTTTATCGTATCTTTCGAATTGATACGATTTTCCTTTAATAATTAGCCTGTTTCCTTGCTTATCAACGAAAACAGAATCCCTAGGAATGTTATCAACAAAGATAACATTTCCTTTCGAATCCAAATAAACTCTATTCCCTGCTTTGTCAACAAATACGTTATCAGTTTTGTCATCAATATTTGTTTTCTTTCCTTCTTTGTCCAGAATTGTTTTGTTGCCTTTTTTGTCTTGATAGACCATCGCACCGCTCGGATCGAGTTTGATTTCATTCCCTTCTTTGTCAACGAATTTGACATGTAAAATACTGTCAGGGCTTTCAGAATTTACATTGAATAAAACCGGTTTTCCGTTGTCATCGATGTAAATTTGGTTTCCATTTTCATCGACGAAAAAGTTTTTGTTTTCGGGAATTTCGGAAATTGGTATTACCGGGGTTTCTTTTTTCTTTTCTTCTATTTCTTCTGTTTTCGTTATATTATGGATGAATGTTTTATTTCCTTCATTGTCGATAACTGTTTTCGTCTTGTTTTCTTTGTCAATTTCGATATGACTTGTGTTTTCATCCAAAACAGTTTCTGTCAAATTTTCTTCGATAACTTTTTTGACACCAGAATTCTGAACAACCGCTTTTGTTCCTTCAATATCTATTGTTGTTTGGTCGCCATCACTTTCTATGACAGCGTCACTTGATAGAGAATCAACGACAGTTACTAAACCATTGTTTTCCACAATAGTCTTTGAACCTTTATTCTCAACAATTGTTACTTCTCCTGATGAATCCATAATTGCAGCCTTTTCTTCTTTCTCGATTTTGATTGGTTTTTCTTCTGAAATTTTGATTTTTGTGCCATCTTCTGTTTTCAATGTCAATTTGTCATTTTTATCTTTAATGATTTGTTTTCCATCTTTCATGTCTTTTACGATTTCGTTTCCTTCCTGGTCGAATTTCTTCTTTACGTTCAAATCGCTCTTTTGTGATTTGATTTTTCCAAGGGATTTCTGTTTCTTAATCGTTTTCTCAGGAATAATTTCGCCTTTTTGGTCAAAAACTGTTTTATTTCCATCAGATCCGAAAACGGTTTTTGTTCCATCTTTTGCATAAATTGTTTGGTTTCCGTCAGGATCAACAATGGAGATTTTGCCATCAGAATCTATCGTCATAACCGTTCCATCGTTTTTCCTCAAAAATAACGTGTTTTCTTCAGAAAATTTTGAAGGATCCGAAAGCACGATTATTTTTCCATTTTCGTCTATCAAAAGTTTATTTCCATTGTCATCGTAAAACACATTTTCATCGTCGATCAAAAGTTCTTTTTCTTCTCCTTTCTCGTCCGTGTAAATTACTTTATTATCTTCTTGTTTTCCTTCTGTAAAGTTTGCATTAGGATTTTTCTTTACTCTTATTCTGAAAAATTTTTGGCCGTCCCTTTCAATTATTGTGTACTTTTTTCCATCAACCAATATCATGCAATCTTTTAGCATTGCATCGTTTTCGATTATCCTCTCTTCGTATTCATATAATTCTTCTTCTTCTATTTCGTTCTCAATTTCTTCTTCTCGAGTTTCTTCTTCAAAATTTTCGTGGCCGTTTAAAATTTCACCTTCTTCTGAATTTACTTCCTCTTCATTTTCTTCTTCTTCTTTCAGCAAATTCTTCTTCTTTTCTTCATTTTGTCTGTTAATTTCGTCGATAACAGCGTTCGTACTTTTTGATCGGATTGGAATCGAAACTTTCTGGTAATCTGAGGTTTTCTTCATTAAATCTTTCAATATACGGTTGATTTCGTTCTTAATTAATGTTGCATTGTCAATAAATGTTTGCATTGATTCAATTTTTCTTCTAATTTCGCTTGTAACTGAATCTGTTTTACCTCTTGCATTTGCGGACATGTTCTTCAAATCATTTTCGTTCTCAGATTTCTCATTGAACTGTTCAATTAAGTCATTTAAAATTCCTTCAGTTGATTCTATTCTTTCGTGGACAGATTCGTATTCTATCTCTCTTTCTGAGTTAGTTACTGTCAATCTTTCCTTCTTTGATTGCAAAATTGCGAGTTTATTCGCATTATCTTCTGTAATTTTTTTAATTTGTTCTTCTTTTTCATGATTTAAGTTAGAAAGATGACTGTCTAGGATATCTTGGAACTCCTTCTTTTGATCAGTGAAGATTTCTCCCCAGTAATTCATATCTCTTTCATGTTCATTGTCCAAAACTGTCGAACATTGTTCTTCTGACGGTCCCTCTTTACCTGCTTTGAGTGCCTTTTCTGTTTGTTTCTTCATTGAACCTGTCTGTTTCTTGATTCTATTCATTAATCTGTCAAATTGAGATTTGCATTTTGAAATTTCGGATGAAGTTTGTTTCCTTTCTCTTGAAAGTAATGTTCCACGGATACTTCCGAGGTCTTTTTGTATTGCGGTCATCATTGTTGTGTTTCTTGAATCTTCAACTGAAGATTCTTCATTTATTGATCGTATTGTTTCCTCAAATTGTGTTTTGAGTTTATTCAAACTGTCTGTATTCTTTAAATCTGCTTTTGTTAAGTTCGTATTTGCTTTTTCAAGGGATTGATAATTTTCCAATTCTGATTTTGTATCTGATATCTTTCCTGATAACTCTGCTTTCCTATTTTGCCAATCGTCAATCATTATTTTGAGTTTTTTCGCTTTTTGAATGATTCCATAATTTTCTGACGCAGAATATGTTGTTAGCATTGTATTATACTTCTCGTTATCTTCATTTAGCTTCTTAGATTCGTTTGAAGCAGCTTTGAAGAGGTTCTCTTGTTTATCTATCTGTTTTGAAATTCGTTTTGCCATATCTTGACGAGTAGCAAGATTTGCTTTTGAATCTTGCAAGTATTTATCTAATCTGATTGTCATTGGTGTCTCTTTTGTATTTATCAAACGCCTTAAATACTCTTGAACTTCTGTTTCTAAAGCTTTAAGCTCAACGGCATTTCCTCTGTAAGTAAGGATAACTGCATTTTCATTAGAAACTAATCCGTCACTATCTTGCGGGGATCCTTCGAATGATTCTTGTTCGATTTGTAATATATTCATCCAATTTGAAACAGTTTCGCATCCATGATACTTCGCAGCAGCAAATTCTTCTGTTTGTGTAAGTCCTGTTGATATTTTCTTCTGAATTATATTCGCTTGAGCATTATTTTGTGGTGTTAAAATTTTTGTTTGCGAAACTTTATTGAATTCATCAAGCTGAAATGCTACATGCTTGCATATAGCTTGATACTCAACAGGCATCATTTTGATTCGCTCCCTTTGAAGTATATCGATCTCAGAGCTCATCAAAAAAAAATTATTACCGAATTTTTTTATTTCAATAGAATGTATATAAGATAAGTCAGTGTATTTAATAGTATCTCGAATTTTTATGACTAAAAAATCAATCAGATATACACCCGTGTGGCATCCGTGTTGATGCATATTCATGGATTCAATTTACTGAATTGAATGAATAATGAAACTTATCTCAAGAATATGATGATAAAAATTGATATTGTATAGTAGCTCTAATTTGAATGAAGAATATATACTGGCCAAATATCAAATATTCAGAAAGAAATCTAAATAGAGCAAATTAATCTTGAATAATTATATGAGTAGAAATTGATTCATGAAAGAAAGAAAATCAGACTGGTTTATATAACAAAATAAGGAGGAAAAAGTAGGAAATAAACATGAGATTAAATATTATATTAGTAAAATAAGTACACTTGTTTAACAATAAAATTTATAATTGATTTTGTATGGAAAATAAAAATTTCTCGGCCAAAAAGAGTAACAAGAATATAAATAGATTGTAAGATTAGTAAAATGCGTATTTATGTAAGAAAATCAAAATGATAAGGTTTGATAAAAGCACAGAAAGGGAATTTTTTTTTCCAGATCATACAAGAACAGGTTCATATGGAAATGTTGTAGATATGTTAGCTATTAAAAGTAAATTCTTGTGAATTTAAGATACTTTTCAATTATCAATTTACATTTCTGAATTTTGAGCGAAAATTATTGAATTATTACGATCAAAAGATAAAACTAAAATTATATATTTTAAAATAACTCATGATAAGATAGCGATTTCTTAAAACTCGTAAAAGTGCTAAAATTGGGGAAGGTTGTTTGATGTATCATGTTTTTAAATATTACAGATAAATGTGGATAAATTTGGGAAAAAAATATTTTGAAAACTAAATAGAAAACAAACTGAAAAGATTATATAAAATATTACATGATATATATTTGAAATTAGAGCATCAATCTCAAATTTTAGGTTAGAAGAAAAACAATTGCAATAAGACGATTAGATGATGTATATTAAATAATTATCATAAATTCGAAAATGTCCGGACGGTACTCATTTTTGATATAAAATATAGTTTTATCCATTCAATTATTGAAAGGTAATTGACTAAATTGATTATACCTTTCTTCCATTTTGTTAACTGAATATTATTATATATAGCATATTAATCTATATTATTCATTTTATGATATTAAATACCGGTAATTTACCCTCAAATATGTTATAAACTTTCTAATTTGATTTTTATAATGTCCTTTATGGTGTTAAGATCCTATATCATCAGACCACTTTATTTTCTTTACGTATGTGTCAAATTTTGAGTTATCAATTTTATTCATTTGTACTAAATCTGATACTAACTCGAAATAACCTTTACGAGCTAAATCTTCACTCAGAAATATTTCAATGCCTTGTTTTGAAAAATTTTCAGAGTAGTTTTCTGTTAGATTTTACAATAATAAAAATTTATTTTAATTGTGAATGTTCCCAGTCTTTAAGCAGTCCCAACCTAAGATAGTTAAGTCCAAATTCACACCTGAGGAAGACAAGAAGCTTATAGAACTTGTCAGCAATGCCACAGATGTTGATTGGAACAAGATAGCAGCCCAATTTTCAAATAGAAATCCTAGACAATGCAGGGAGAGATGGCAGAACTATTTAAACCCAGCTCTCACTAGTAATAATTGGACTGAAGAAGAGGACCAGCTTATCCTTGAACGTTTCAAAGAAATGGGTCCACATTGGAACGCAATCGGACGTACCTTTGTCGGTCGTTCCGGAAATGCAGTTCGCAATCGTTATTTAGTTCTTATGAGACATCAGCAGAAGAAATTCCGCTTACATAAATTCAACGATTATGTTCCATATACTGAAAACCCAATGATGCCTATGCCTGCTTTAGAACCAATGCAGAAATACTACATGGCTCAGCAAATGAATGCACAACAAATGATGTACGCTTATCAGCAAATGAACGCTCAGCAGAACACTTATCAATATCAACCACAACCTGTTCAACAACCACAACAGCCAATGATGCCAGTAGTCCAGCAACCTGTCAAGCAGCAAGTAGAACCAATCCTAGAACAACCAGCTGTAGAACATCCAATCGAAGATGTATTTGAAGATAGTACAATATCAGAAATCTTCGTTGGAGGCGATGATTTCGAGTTCTTAGATTCTATGTTTTGTTAAATTATGGATTGGCTTATTTTTTAGTATTAAAATCTTCATTAGATATTTTTACATCTATTCAATTTTTCTATTCAAAATAGCCGCCGGTGTTTTCTCAAAAAATCAAAGAACATCACGGGGATAACCATTCGTATTTTAATCACTAAATACATTCTAAATTTCAAATTATTTTAACAATCAATTTTATGATTCGGTTTTATCAAAAGTCATGTGCATCCTATGCTTTTTAATTATACCAAATATTTCTTGTTGACAGAACGTTCATCTCAAAAAGTCACCAGACGCAAATTTATCCGAAAAATCCCTCAAATTCTCATTGTTTTTAAGCAATTCGCAGTTTATTCTCGATTTGATTGATTTGTTGTATGCTTGTAATTCGCTATCTCAATTTATCCACAAACCATTCATTGTTATAGACCGAAAATAGATTTTTTCGGTTTTCTCTTCAAATAATTGAAAGAATGATACTATTATAGGTTTATTATATTATATAGCATATAATCATGCTATAGCCGAAAATTATAAGTTTTGAGAAGATTGAATATAACACAAATAAATTTGAATGTAAGTTAAATTGCTTGTTGTTTTTAATAGCTATTTAATGAGAAATCCAATATTGCAAAATTCAAATTGAATGATTGAAAGAACAGAAAAAGTCGTTCTTTTCAATTTCGAATTTGTTTTCATTGTATTTATAATTATATGGCAAATAAGATATTTAAACTTGATTTTTGAAGGAAAATTCACAAAATTGAATAAATTCAAATAATTTTTATTCAATAAAAAAACTAGTTATTTGATTGTTTAATACTAATTATCTATTCAACTACAAAGTTTGTAATTTAAAATATTTTGTGAGATCAGATTGAATTAATTCAAGGTTCTTTTCAATTAATATTAATGACCATATTACATTTTCGAACATTCTAAACCAAATATATTAAAATGGGAGACGAAATGTTAAATTTGCTAGACATGGGGGAGTTGTCTGCAAAAGTTTTAGCTCTTATCTCTAACAAAAAATTAATTTTTAAAAAATGACCGAATACGTTTCACAGCGAGAAAAAAATAAAAGGCAAGATAGAATTTTCTAGACATAAAGAAGTTGTCTACCAAGTGTCAGCTGTTACTTCTTCTCAATACTGATATAAAATAAAATCTTTATTATTTATTTAACCTTTATTGTTTCATTAAACTTTATTTTATTTTATATATAGTTTTATTCTTTTAGCTACTTGTAAAATAATCTAATTTTATATCATCATTTTACCGGATTATTCTTCAGTACATCGATTGTGTATCTAAAATAATATCATTATCCTTATTCTGTTTTTTCCAAAATTCTTTTAAATATCTTTTTTGGTTAGATTACTTTATGCTTTTTACTTTTATTTTTTAATTTCAAAAAAAAATTTGGTGATTGTTCTATTCTGTTACAATGTGCATTATCATATTCTAATGAATTATTCATTACATACATTTAAAAAAACTTGTTAAAAATGAAATTAAAAAATTATGTTTATTATTACGCTGTGAATGTGTCAACAGCGGTCATGCCTGTATCTGTATCCATATTTGCCACAACCTTTCTGTATCTGCATTTGTGTATTTCGGTTTCAGCTGATACATTTGATTTGGCGTGTAATTTGTTCCGGTTAATGGATTAATTGGGAGATCTTCATGCGGTGTGTTATTATTGTACTCCCAAATAAAGGCAGGAATGGCCTGAATGCTTTTGCAGCGCTCCAATGTCGGCCAGAATCTCTCAATCTTCCCATTTTGGTAGGGAGAATGAGAGTCTGTATGCCGCCATTGGACGCCCCAAAGATCAAGTAGATCTTGAAAGGCGCCCCTATTTTCTGAACCGTTGTCGGTCCAGAAACAATAAGGGGCGCCAAATTCAATGAAGGCGGAAGCCGCAACGTTCACTGTCGTCGCTGCCAGCATATCTGGTATTTGTATACACGCTAGGACTTTGCGGCTAAAATCGTCGATTATGCCATAAATATACAGTTAGTATACATATCATGGGTACGGCGGCACTGCACACCTCTTTACCCATTATATGTGAATTTAACACTTTACGAAACCGTTAACGTATATTTTACAACACAAACGACAACACTAACTTAACCTTAAATATTTACAAAGCCGCCAACCACTTCACCTCACTAACGTTTTCACAAACGACTTCACTACTGTAAAAATAAACGTTCTCACTTACAAAAGTATTGCAACTCCTCCCATTGCTGTGCTTCATATAACAGCTCATAATCTTCTGACTCACTTTCTTCTTCATATAGGTCAAAATCACTGTCATAGTTTATACCTGTAAGTTTTGTCAAAGCTAATGAAACACGCTTACCGTTTGTATCGTATGCTTGTATAAACTTTCCATTATGCTTGTAGTCATAAACGCTCAAACTAACTTTACCCTTTCTCCCTCGTATCTGATAGAATGTATTTTCACGAGGAACGAAGAACAAATTCTTGAACTCATGACCGTTGTAGTTTGTTATCTCAATAGTTTTCGTCATTTATATAAAAATAAACTTAAAAATAAACTTAAAAATAAACTTAAAAATAAATGATATCACCACTCCCACACGTATGAAAACATCCATTTAAATTTAGGTGAAGTGGTGAGATCTCACCTCTTTTTTCACCTCTTTTTTCACCCACTTGAATTCATTACTTTATAACTCTCTTCCTTTCTCCAACTCTTCTAACTTCTTCCTAAGTTCAGCAATGTTGTCCTCATGTAATTTAATCTTTCTCAAAATTCCTTCTTTATCTAATGGTTGCTTTATCTTTCTAAACTGAACTCTACCATCTTTCATAGTATGAATGTAAAAACCTTCTGGAATAGTTCCTGATTTAAGGTATTCTACCAAAAACTTTTGTTTCATTGCTTCAGTGACTTTATTTGTCATTTCAATCAAATAAAAATTTTAATATTAAATAAAAATAACGTTATTTTTTCAGTAAGGAAACGCAGGAGTTTTACGATTTATTTGTGGTGTAGGTTCTGGTTTAAATGTTGGAGTCGGTTTTGGAGTTGACTTTTGAACAGGAGTTTGTAATTCCATAGGTTCAGGAGTCATTGAAGGTGTTGTTTGTGAAGGCGTTGGTTTTGACGTTGGTTTTGGCGAAGGTGTTGGAGTTTGTTTAACTTTAGCTACTTCAGTATTATTTACAACATTTGCTTTATTTCTTTTCAACATCATTACTGCTCCTGCTGTAGCTAGCAAACCTAGTGGGAGACCATATTTTATATAAGAACTTGACCAAATGCTATTTTTGACAGGAGCTGGTGGAACACCTAACCTTGGTGAGACTGCTCTTTGCCATTGTGCAGCTCGTAAGAAATATTCAATAGGTGCTCCATAATCGTTTGGTAAAGTTTGTTTCATAGATGGTGAAGGTTCACGAGAGCTTGATGAAGAACTCATTTATAAGCTTTAAAATAAACGTTCATCCTTTATTCCTCACTGTCGTCCGTAGCTAAGTTATAGTCGTCAAGTCTTATTATTGGTATGCCTGACTGTCTTACTTGTATTGCAAAGCAACAATCCCTCATAAATCCAATAAGTGGCTTTGGTACATTTTCAGTTGCTAGTTCAATAGGTCCTTTAACAGTCAATTTGTATGTTATCGGAGCAGTAGATGTTTGACCTTGCTGGAAGCAAAAGTCCACTTCTGTTGGAAAACCACATAAGAAATGTGTGTTGTCATAGCTATCCCATTTATGTTCCACACTACCATCATCCACCAATGACCTCATAACATCTTCATTAAATCCTATCATATCATTGTTTGTATTGCAAGCGTTCGCAACCATTTCATAAAATACAGGTCCATATGATTTTTCAGGTTCTGCAGGCATATTTCCATAAGCTCCCATGGAAAGCTGAAGATATTTAAACTTAGGGTTCTCAAAATTAACATAATAGTTGTCTTTCTTTCTAAATAGTGCCCAAATACTTTTAACATTAATAGGCGTATAAGCTGCTGTAAATGTTGCACTTGAACTATCTGTATTCTTTGAGAATGAACCGTCCATAGGAATCCAATCCATAACTTTAACAGGAAAACATAAAGCCTCGTTTGTATAATGTTCTACAAGTTCTGTATAAATGTTAGGGTCTAAAGAGAATGACTTTGGATGAATGAAACATTCATTAAAATCCATCTTTGTTCGAAATAGTTGCTGGTTACAGTTGTAATAGTAACTGTTCCACTAGCTTCTACTGCCTTCGTTATCATAGTGAATGGTTCATTCCATGGAACAAATTTATTTGTCGGTGGATTTGAATCTGAAGCAAATGCAACTTTAAGAGTTGGATTGAAAGCAATGATATCATTTACAGATATAGATGTGCATTGTAAGGCGTCGCTACTGAACTTTACTTTAAGCTGAATGTTCCTGCAAAATGCGGAATAAATCGAATAGCTTCTAATGGAAGGAATCTTCTAACAGGAATTCTTAAACGAAGCTTAAAATCAAATGATTTTCCTGCTGTAATTGGACCACTAACAATTTGTCCTGTTCTGCATGTTCCCGAATGACTCCATACATCTTCATGTCGAGTCTTTGAGAAAACATCTACTTTCTTTATTTGTTCGGTAGTTTGTGAGTTTGAAGTTATATATGCTTCTTCTCGTGCGTTGTCTTGAGAATATACGATACGACCATTTGCAAGGATTTGATATCCAGCAACTGCATAGAAAGCGTCATCGAAACCAATCCAAAATCCTGGTGGGTTTGTTTTATTGGAACCTGAACCAATTTCTTTATCTACAATAAATTGACCTTCCATTTTATACGTAATGAATGTATTGTAAAGGTCCAACATATTTTCACCAGGAGGTGAGAGATTGAATGTTACCCATGTGTTATCTTTAGCAGTTCCAGGTTGTGATGGAATCTTTGCGTCAGAATATTTTCTATTAGTGTCACCAATTTGAACTGCATTGTCTATGATATCGAAATATGAGCGAATCTGATGAATATGCTCTGCTGGAGTAAATTCGTTTAGCTGTTCGTTCTGCATGTATTTACTTCAGATAAAAATATCTATTTACTTCATTATTCTCACTCTTCTTCTTGGCATTCGTGGTGGAAGTTGTTTCTTGACATTTTCAATGAACTGTACATTCTCTTTTGTCTCAACTTCTTTCACTGGCGGGTCAGGGTTCTTTGACTCGGTTTGTTTTTCAATGAAATTCACGAACTTTGCAATAAGCTCTTGGTTCGTTATTGAAAGTACATCTGGCTTCTTTTCTTCTGGTTCTTTGACTTTTCAGTTTGAACAGAAGGTTTTAACATGGGCTTCGTGGACTTCACCCTTGCCATGCACCTTAATGTTGTCTCTTTCTGCATTCGCTAATGGAACCTTTCTTTTTCTTACGTATATTTTACCATCTTTACTCTGACTTACGTAATAGAAAGGATGTTGTATTCCTCTTGCGTCATTTAATATAATAGACTCTCGTTCTGATTTTGACAAGCTCATTTTACATCGGTTAAAGTTTTAATTTTGTTTTTTATCTGCAGTCAAATGACTCAGACAAGCCCTACGGACAAGACCCAAGGGGTCATAGATGTTGAAGCATTGAAGAAAGAAATTCGTGAGCAAATTTTATCCGAACTGAAGGAACAAAAACAAGAACAAAAGCCAGAGAGACCAAAGAGAAAACTTAGTGAAAAACAACTTGCTGCATTAGCTGCTGGAAGACAAAGAACCCAAGACTACTGGCGAAAAAAGCTAGAGAAGAAGCTGAAGCAAAAGCTAAAGAAGCTGAAGCAAAGAAAGAGTAAATGGTTTATTTTTATCGAATTAAATGTATAGACAAATACCTTTATCTGTTGCGTTCAGTAGTGAAAACCCTGACGTCAAAATAAAGGGGAACAGAGTAACGTTTAAGTTTCCAACAGACTGGATTGTGAACATAAATGAAGAGAAGTACATTGGCATAACATCTATGTATATAACACGTGCTTTCAGAAAGGTTGACTTTATACTTCAAGTCGAGATAGAAAATGACGAACAGTCTTTAAGCGCCCAAAACATTCACATATACAAATACTTTAAGGACGATACAACATTGTTGCAATGTATGATTTCATTTAATGAATGTTCGAGAAAAAGTTAACATTGAAGTACAAACTTTACAGCCTTTACGTGAGTTTCTTGCACAACTGAAAGAAGAAGGTAGTCGGCCACAACTTATAGACTTTCATTATGAATTTAATGAAAATGAAGATGGAACTCATGACTGTCAGTTTGTTGTATTCACCATTCAATGAAGTCGCTAAAAAGAAAGAAAATCCATTACGTATAAGATTTCAAATCTCTGAACCCAATGAAGACTTCAAGAATGTTTTCAATTATGATGCAATGCTTCCGAGGAAAAATGAATTTTTCCAAAGATTTAACACCGGCATTTGGGATAGAAAGCAAGCTATATTATATTCAAACTTAAGTAAGGGAGTTGAAAATGAGTTCATTGGTCATACAAGAACTTCACCACTTCCTAACCCTAAATACTATAAATTAACTGGCTTCAATCGTGAGTTTTGGATAGACATGTTCTCCACACATGACCATAACTGCCCAGTGTTCTTGCCTCCAGATGGGAAGGACTGTCTCTACATTGAAGCACAACTCTTAAACTCTACCATCGCAGTATTGTAAAATCTACGCTAGTTTTATTTTTTCTGAAAATTTTTATTTGAGTGAAAGGCATGGAAGGTGAAGACGTTTGGGAAACACTTGTTGCTGACAACGACTATGAAATTAACACAGAATATCCACACAATATTAGGAAAAAATCTACAGGAAAAATTGTGAGTGAATGGATGAGCGATGGATATTATAGGTTATGTTTAAACGGTCAAAAATACTTCAAGCACAAACTTATAGCAGAACAATTCATACTTAACCCAGACAACTTACCTCAAGTAGACCATATAAATCATATACGAACAGACAATAGAATAGAAAATTTAAGATATGTAACATCACAACAAAACAATAAAAACAGATGTAAAGCAAATGGTATAAATTATAACTATGCAGATGAAATTGGTGAAAACTCCATTGAAGTTAAAACATATGGAAAACATGAGTTCGATGATTTATACTATGACCCAGAACAAGACCTCTTCTATTTCTTTAATGGAATTCGCTATAGAGAGCTTCATGTAATGGAAAACAATAAATGTGGAACTCTGTATGTAAATGCATGGACTGTAAAAGGAAAACTTACAAAAATTTCATACAGTGCATTCAAACGTCAATATAATCTTATATGACCTCACTGCTGACAAAAATAAATGACCTCATTATTTTTCTCATTCATGACCTCAGAACTTCAACTTACGAATAAAGCTTGTTTTAGTCTGAATAGAAAAGTTAAACTTTTCAGCAAAGCAAGGACTAGAAGACTTACATAAGTCGAATGCAATCTCTTGACCGTCATAAAGTGCTTTATATAACTTCATAACACTGAACTCAGAGTCTTTGTCAAATTTTCCTTGCGGAACCATTAAACCTTTATCTTCATCATAGAAACATTGAACAGAGTCAGGAAACATTTCATTAGCGGTTAAAGCAATAACATCTTGCTTCACGCCTTTCATTCTGCAGTGAAATGCAACTTCATTTAAATCATTCGTGAGTAAGTCTATGTAAGTCTTCTTTCCACAAAATATTGACTTGTATGCTAAACTTTGTTTTCCAGGTGTTATTTCTGCGAAGTCACTATGAAACTGACCAAGGTTTTTACCAATGAGAACTCTTCCATAACGTTTCTCAAACTCTTCAGCTAAACGAGGGATATCTTCATTGTAGAGATGCATACTGTCGGTGTCGCTATAAAAGATGTCCATTCCTAAGTCTTCAGCAGTGCAAAACACTTCACACATTATTCTCTTCGACATAGATAGAATATTAACACCAAGTGGACAGAAGTTAAAGTGTCTGCAAATGCTTTTCGTTAGCTTGAAAATAGTTTTATCTGAACCATCCAAACCTTCGAACTTCACTATATGGTTGTAATTTCTTATAGCATATCTTATAGCATCTTTGTCATCTACTATGGTTATTTTTGACTCAATAGGAGATAGAATAGTTTTGCCATAAATACTGTTCAGAATGAGCTTTATATTTTCTTGCAAAGGATTTCCTTCTTTCTTATACTTTAACCTTAACTCAAACAACTTCTTTACTTCATCTCTTATTCTAATATCTCTGTTTCCATCGTAGTAGTATCCTTGCAACACTTCACATTTGACACCTTGATATTTTATGAGGTCTTGTAATGTTATATGGTCAACATACATGACAGCAAGTGTTTGAACTTCTGGGAACGTTAAGTTCTGGATTTAGTTCAGGGTCACAAACTATTAAAGGAAAGTGTCTATGTATTCCAATCTCTGTTATCTTAATGAGAACAAAGAAGCCAGACATAAACTTTTCACCAATGGGTTCCTTTTGGTGTCATCGAATAAATGTCTCATGAGATACTCTGTGCTTAGCATCTCATCCTTCAATACTTTTGGAATTCCTTCTAAAGTATACAATCTTGCTATAGCGGATGGATATAATGAAACAGCGTCGAAGTCAGCAATGAGTTTCTTTTGCTCTTTTGTTTAATGTTATCTGACAACATACATCTTCCACCTTGAATGCATCTCGAAATAAATTCTCTTGGTTTATTTGAGAGGTCATAAAGATTTCCATTCGGGAAGTACACTCTGTTCTCAAATAATTTGTTAGCAATTGAACAAATACTAACGTAGTCATAAACGTTTAAATCAAATTCTTTCAATATGTCATTGCGGAACTTAACAAAACCTTCTCTTAAAATTCTTACATCTTGTTTACAATAAAATGAGCTATATTTTTCTAAGTCGAAATGGTTTTCATCTATTCTGCAACCTTTGATGGAATCTATGTTCTTCATGAATGTATCTGCATCCTGTATAAACTTACATGCTTCAGAAATGACACCAGTTCTGTTGTCATTTGCTAACAAAGTACTGCTGTAGTAGTTGTATGGAAATACTTCTTTCGGTCCTGTTTGTAAGTTAAACATAGCAGGAAATAGTTTAAGCTTCTTATTTATAACACTGTAAGAGTCTTTTATAATAATTGCCCGTCCTTTATATAAGCCAGTTATTTGCATTGTTCGTGAACCTTTAATGATGGGAGTTCCTTTCACTTCTGTCATATGTCTTAAGATGAAGTTTATATCATAACTGAGGTTATGGAAATATATTAAACTCTTGTCAGGAAGTCGTTCCAAAAATTCTGTTGCACAGTTCTGACCCCAAATGCTTTCACTCACTGAACCATCTTCACTGTCGTAACAGATGTTAAAAGCTTTATGAAAGCCATCTGTGCTACACTCAAAGTCAGCAAAGAAAACATGCTCAGGAATGAACTTACATTTAGCTTTATTTACTTCTTTTGACTCTGCTTTCTTCTTCAGTTGTACACAATACTTTGGAGCATATGTCAAATCTTTAAATGGTGCAAGGTTCTGTTTATATAAGTCAGTCGTATATGTGAAAAGTTCTCCATAAGAAATAGGTTCGAAATATTTGCACTCCCACAATGTTTTCATAACATCCCATAACGGTGTAGTTCTATCCATGCGAACTACATATTTACCATCTCTCTTTGTATAAATCTTCATCTGTTTCTCAATGTTCATTCCACCACACTCCTTCAAGATTTCTATATAGTTGCGAATGAAATATGTTGTCATTGGAAGTCTTTCGTTTAGCATGTAGTGGTCTTCAACAAGAAGTAGGTCAATAGTTCGAACAGTTTTACATTCTTTTGGTACGTATCTCTTTATTTCATTATGTCTTGAGTCATTGAAATAACCAATGGTAACATTGAATGCTATACCTGTTGCGTCAGAAATTTCTTGTACTTTACTTTGTGGAAAGTCTCTAACACGAATGACTTCTCTCATGTGGTCAATAGTCTCTCCATCTACTTCAGCCTGAATGCAAGCATAAACGAAACAATTGTCTTCTGTCATAAGTGTTGCAGTTCTTTTGTTCAGTTCATTGAAGATTTGGTAGCGTTCAAGATTTATAGGTAATGTGCAAAGATACTTCCAGAACTGACCGCTTCTCTTCTTATAAAACTTCTTTTCATCAAGGATTTCATTCCAGAAGTCATCTATATCTTGTTTATCTCCTGTTTGTTTAAGTCTGTTCAATAATCTTTTCTGTCTTTCTGTCAGTGTGCTTTCATCTCTATATGGTCTCTTTTTTGGTTTGCCTTTCTTTACATCTGACATCGTTAAGCCTTCATATTCTGTTAAATCATACATCTTTATTTCAGTAAGATTCTTTATGTTTGTCAAGAAGAAGTCATAGTGCATTTCAACAATACCTGCAGCATTTGCTTCTATCTCTGATATAAAGTTCTCCTTCAAGAGCTGATGTAGTAGTGTTCCAATATTATTGAGGTTTAACGTAGAACATTCATACTTTCCACAAGTTTATAACATACCATCCATCTCTGTTGTGAGTTTATTTTAATCTTCTCTAAGAGTCTCATGAAAACCTTACCGAAATGTTTGTGTAAGTAGTCTCTGTTTGGTTCATCTAAAGCTTCGATGTTAAAGTCAATGAGTCTATTGCCTGACTTCACATTTCTCTTCCTATTCTCTTCATCTTTCTTTAACCATCTCTCACCTTCTTTTGGTTTGTCGTCAATGGAACGAATGACATCGTTAGCTTTGCGAACTTGTTCTATAGCGCTCTTAAACATCTCTCTTCTCTGTTGTTTCAGTGTGTCGTCTCTTCTTCTTGTTTCACCAACGTTCGCATTTGTTATGTCAAACATCTCTTGACGAACATCATGTGAAAGAGCTTTACGAGTATGACCAACGTTTGCATTTGTTATGTCAAACATCTCTTGACGAACATCATGCGAAAGAGCTTTACGAGTATGACCAACGTTCGCATTTGTTATGTCAAACATTTCTCTTCTTACTTCATGAGGTATTGAACGTCTATGATATAAGTCAATAGCAACGTCATTTAAAGGAAATGCTCTTGCATTTATGAACTCATGAATTCTATCATAACTTATAGCACCATTGTAGTCATTGAGGATGTCAGCGAGTGCTTTTTTGTTTGTTGCGTAATGTTTTGCAACATCTATGTTAGCTTCTGTAAGAAGTTGTTTTATTTCCGAGTGTTCTAACTTAGACAACTTCCGATACATCTTTAGGTAGGAAATAAAAAAATTTCTTAGAAAAAAATTAGCTTAGATTTTTTAAGGCTAGTTTTAAAATATTTCGAACTTTTTATTTTAATGAAACACATGCAAGATTGCAAGTTCTTATCATACAATGCTCTCGCTACTGCCATCAAGAATGAGTTCAATGGTGCTGCAAACGTTAATGTTATCTTTAACAAGAAGTTTGTGAAAGAATCTAAGTTTGGTCAGTATGTCAGACCATTAGCTATTGTCATTGACCGCAAACGTTATACTTCACAAGAGTTAGCAGTAGTTTTGAAACAAAAGAGTTTCTTCGTGAATGTCAAAGATACTCATTATACTGTCATAAAGAACTCTAACGTTGACTTCTTCAGTATTGCTATGAATCTTTCCGAACAGAAAGAATATAAGAAAGGTGAAACAAATGTGAAATATTATCCTTCATCTCTGAAGACAATAACGAACAAAGATGTCATACAGAAGCTCCTACCAAAGGTTGAAGAAGCTTCAATTGACATTGACGAAGGAAGTGAAATGGTTGAAGAAATAGACCCTGAAGCTATTTAAGCAAAAATATATTTTTGGTTAGTCTTCATATCGACATTTTACAACAATTCCCCAATGTATAAACTTTTCATACGCTTTTTCATAAGTTTTATATACCTTCAGAAATTTTGCATAATCTTTAGAAGCATTTAGATATTGTTTAAATGCTTTATATACCTTCAGAAATTTTGCATAATCTTTTACATGTTGTTCGTTCTCTTCTTCTGTCATGAGTTCCGAATATTCTAAATTCATGTTCTTTCATATGAGATAAAATTTTATAAAAAAATAAAATTAGCTTAGATTTTTTTTACTCTGCTTGTTTGAAGTTGTCAAAATACTCTGTTATTTAATTCAAACCAGTCTTGTGGTTTCTTAGTATCTGGTGTAGCACATGCTGTCAAAATACTTTGCATTTGGTACATGTCATCTTTGACCGAACGAATGAGACGTAACTGTTTGTTAAACTGAACCCACTCGTATTCTTCACTTATGGCTTCATGAACGATAGCAGTTGTTGTGTTCTCTGATGTTGACATTACTGTCTTTACATACAAAATAAAAAAATAAAAAAAAATAAAATTAGCGTTATTTTCTATCTTGTATAAAAGACCAAAAATAAACGCTTTACATGTATTTTTCAGCAACTTCGTCAAATAATTTTATAGCTTTGTCGATCTCATCTACTTCAAACGTTTCTTTACCTTTTATGGGAGCACCATACATTTTCTCAAACTTTTCAAGTAGTTCTGTTTCAGCAGCTCTCATATCATTAACGAACACAACCTTAACTCTATTGACTGTATTGTCATATCTTTGAGTTATATTAAATGTTCTTCCTATCTTATATCTCTTTGTATTGAAGTCCTTCGGTTTCTGAACGATGTAAAGTAAGCCTTCATTGCAACGTTCCGTATCGAATGAACCATATGTTATGAAATTATATCCAACAACCGGGTCAATCCATAACAAAACTAGTGGTATAAGACTTTTGTCGATGAGATATGCTGTAGTTCCATGAAATCTTACCGATATCATAAGCTCAGGATTTCTTGTCAAAATTTTCTGAGTTGAAGCAATTTTAACCCAGTCGTTTGTTTTCTTTCCAGATGGAGATAAAATGTCATGTTGTCACCATTTTCAAAAAGATGTTAGTTGACCGAGTGACCGAGTGACCGAGGGACCTGGTTACCTGGTGACACCTAAAAATATTTTTGTCTGATTTACATCTAATGAAAAAGTTTAGAAGAATTTTCTTATTCTTTCTGGCATATTTTTGTCTTTCCAGTACTCCCGCTCTAATGGTCCCAGATGTGTTGGCTTCGACTCTCTCAAGTTCTTAGATGGTATAACATCTTCAACGCCTCCTTCATATCTTACTTTATAAGTGTCATCGTTTGTGTTATAGCCAAGTATTTCAATAACCACTCCTCGCTTTGCTTCGTCAATGGTTTTAGCAAGTTTGCCATTACTACTTTCGACTAATTTATGACGAGGGTAAAACGCTATGGAGTCGTCAGCAGCTTTTATAAGATATCCATTACCTTGCGTAGAGTCTACGATATAATAGTTTCTACTTAACCTTAAACGTTTCTTTGTCAATGGTTTGTCGTCAAGAACTACACGAACTTTTGTACCAGGAATGAGTGTAAATTGTGTTGAATTTCTGATATTTTGTGTTTGACTTTGTTTCTTTTGTATATACTTTTCTTCTTGTTGTTGTGTCATTGAATTTGGTGTATGTCCTGTTGTAGAGTGTGTTGAGGAATTATATACTTCGAGAAAATGTTTCATTGTTTCTTCGGTAAAGTCTCGCTCTTGGTTTAAATCTCTGAGCGTTCTTATGAAGCGATTAATGATACCTAAAATATTATGGTTATGGTCTTCAGTAGTGTAGTGAGTTATGTTATGCTTAATGAGAAAATCTGTGATTTCATTGCTGAGGTAAGCACCGTCTTGGTCTGATGTTAAAGTACTTGGGCTATGTTCTGCTACAAACTTTTGTAAAACTCTTAACACTTCACGAGTTCCTTTATTTTTCATTATATACGCAAAAGCTTTGCGAGTGTTAACATTAATGAAGATGAGGAATGGTTTATGTCCTCCTTTTCTGCTTTGAATGAGAGTGTCAAATTGGTATGCGTCAGGAGTGTTGGAGTAAATTGGTAAAAAGTAGTCGTAAGGGTTTATTTTTGTTTGATGTACAACATTTTTGTCAAAGAACCTTTTCACTTCAGCTCTGTTAGTAAATCCCCAACTCTTTGCAGCTTCATTGAACTTCTTAAATGACCTCCATGGATGTTGTTCGAATACTTCTTTCAAGCTCATTTATGTAAAGTTAAAGATTTTATTCTAGGCTCAAGCGCGTTCATTGAACGCGGTACCATGCGAATATAGTCACAAATGGTGGCATATAATCTGCACCCGAGCCTGTTGGATTTGTTGTGAAAGTGTGTGAATGATTTCCTGCGGTTCCACAGAAAATACCTGCGCTTGAATCTACTGGGTCACTTGAAATATCATATCTATGCATTCCCTGTCTATCCGAACCTGCTGCAAGATTTGTATAACCTCTTTTTGTTATTGAATGTGAATGACTACCTGTTGTGTTTGTAGTTCCTGTATGAGTGTGCGGTGGAAGGTTTGCTTCTTTAATTTTCTTCGAACCTCCTGTCTCCTTTGAAGAGTTAGCACAATACAAAAACCTGTCGACTATTTGAGTCCAAGTTCCAAAACCAAGTACTACTTCTGGTCTGGTAGAGTTCATTGACGTATAAATAGAACCTATAGGATATACTGTTTGAAGTATTTCTGTCTTTAATGTTTGAAGCTCTGTTTTGTCTGCTTTTTTATCATATAAATCTTGAGCAGTGAATTTAACTTTTTTTTCATCCTCCATGACAAAAACATTTCTACATCTAATGTATTTCATCGTCGTTATGTCTTCCTCCGATGTTAAACCTTGTGGAAAGTTAGGAGGTTTCCAATATAATGCATCCCCACCAGTTCCTTCAACCGTTCCTTCAATACTTTCTATACCAACAGTTGCGAAGAAATCGTGTGTATGGTTCTTATCTGCCTTCTTATCTAACATTGCTGGTAGTTCATGTGTTTCAAAGTTTCTGACATGACCTTCAATGTTCATACATTTACTATTTAAGGAGTTTAGTGTATCTTTTACGCTTGTACTTGGATTCTCTAAAGGTGCACTTGAACCAAGGGTATAGTTCAATATTATGTCGTCTGCTCTAACAGTAGTGAAGGATTTATGTGTATGGTTCTTGTCGGCTTTACTGTCTAAAGAAGTTTGAAGTTCATTTATATCGGAGATGTTTGTGTTTGAGATTTCAAAAACTTGTTCATTGCTTCGAGTTCAACTTTGTCAGCTTTACTTTTAATAGCATCTTCAAACGTTATTTTTGACTTAACTCTCAAAGTAAATCTTGGTTCAACTAATACACCGTTAACAAAGAAGTATGAAGCGTATATTTCATCGTTATAACCAAATGTTTCTGGTGCTTTACCTGTGTCATACTGTACAGTACAGCGTATGTCATAGCCTTTAGCACGAATGAATTTATATCTTCTTTCATTAACATCTTTCGTCTTCACTTCTTCATCCTGTGTTAAATATCCATGGTAGTCCGTTATAATCTGTTCGTCTGAACTTATATAATGAACATGGTTTTTATCTGCTTTTTCGGCTAATTTCTCTTCTATCTCATTTATTTCAAGTTCATGCCTACCACCACCTCCCGAAGAAGTATTTTTCTTCAGCTCTTGAAGAACGTCCACTTCGCCATCTTTGGTGTCAATAATGAGACTTTGTGTTAAAACCTTTCCTGTCTTAATGGATGTTTGTAAAACTTCTTCTTCACCGTGTTCGGGGTCATGGTCGTCATCATATCTTGTGAAATCAGAGATGTTGTCATACATTAAGCATATCTGTCTCAAAAGTTCTGCTATTTGAAACTGGAACGAAAGATATACAGAACCTTCTTCATCTCCTAAAGTCAAGTCTGCTTTCTTAAGTATTTCTTGAATGTATGCAATGAGAACAGAGTACCTTGGAAAATATTCGAACAATATTTCATTTGCCGTTGGTTTTGGTGGTTCTTCTGGAGTTTCTGTTGTTTCAGTTCCTTCTGTAGGTTCTGTTGGAGTTTCTGCATCTCTTGACTTCAATGCTCTTGCTCTCAAAGACCTAAATGTTAGAGCACCAGGTTTTACAAAGGATTTTATAAATGCTTTAATAGTTCCTGGTAAGTTATTGTTAGCATTAAGTAAGTTCCTTATGCTTCCATCATGTACGTCCATAGCACTATGTAAAAAATCTATACTTTTCTTGTAGTCAGCAATAGACTGACTGTGATTTTTTAAAGATTTGTCAATACCTTTAAGCCAATCTTCATGCATGTCTGATACTGAGCCAAGAATATCATTTGCTTCCTTTAGTGTATTTTGTGCTTCTCGTAAAGTATCCAATCCCGTACGTGCATTGTTTGCTATACGTCTTACAGTATCTATTTGACTCCTTGTTTCTTGCATCCAACCAGATAAAGTTTTAATAGTATCCGAACCATTTGAAATGAAGTTCAAAGCATTTTTAACGTCATCTAAAGCTTCTTCACCAAGTACCGCCCATATCTTTCCGATTTGGTATTGAAGAACTCCATATGAAGCAGCTGTTAAACCAGTATTTATAAGGTCCCATATCCATGATTTAGCAGTTTTTCCATCCTTTCCATCCTTTCCATCCAAACCGTTTTCGCCTTGAGGTCCTTGTACTCCTTGTTTTCCTTGTATTCCTTGTGGTCCTTGAGGTCCGGTGTCACCCTTCTCTCCTTTCAGTTCATCTTTATGTTCGTTATAATATTCTAATGTCATAAGGTGTACATCATTACTGCTACCAGCAACGCCGAGAATTTGTTTCTCATTCATGACTAAATTCTTTAGGCATTTAATGTTGTCGTCAAATCGAAAGCTCTTTAACAATTCAATGAGAACATTTAATACTTTCACTATTGAGGCATCTACTGTAGAATTTATATATTGCACCGTTCCATCATTTATGATGGGAACCTTGCTTGTTGTAATGAATGGGTCATAAGTGTTAAAAGTATCGAAATCAATGACTTTTTTAGTCTTTCCATCGTCAATGACTAAATCATTGCCTTCAATGGTTAAAGTTGAGTTTTCGTTTACTAGTTCATGTGCTCTTCTTGCTTCATTTGTTTCATACGCATATGCAGCAATAGTCATATTTTAATGAGAATAAAATGTTGTTCTATTTGCAAAGTACAGACCCAAACGAATACGGGACAGTAAAGCTACAAACAAACTTAGGTCTTCAGAATGAAGCGCTTGCTTTCAGAGTTGTTGACTTCAATACTATCGCAACTTTTGTCATAACAGATGAAACAGATTTCATAGAGATTGAAATAGATGACAAAAGAAGTGTTTATACATTTCCTAACAGAGCTGGGTATAGAATAGATAAAATTGCTGGAGTCATGGATACTCTCATAAATGAAGAAACTATTGACAACATAGATGTCGAACTCTCTTCTGAGGGAACATTGAAGTTCAGTAGCAAGAAAGAGTTCAAGATAACACGAATGAGTCATAGAGTACAACTTCTTTTGGGTGCATACCATATGACATTTCCTTTGAAAAGTGTTGACAAAACGATTGAGATGAAATCTGTTCCATACGTATGTTATGGCAATTGTTTGTACATTGAGTCAAAAATAGCTAATGTCACAGGTATTTCAGGAGTTAATAGTAAAGGTTCAGTAGAATATAAGTCTTTCTGTTATGAAGTAAACTCAATGTTCATTCCAAATGTTCCTGTCATAGTAACTCATTTAGGTAAATGGGTTCGCATTAGCCCTCACAATTTGAAAGATATGCAATTCAGACTTGTTGACTTTCAAGGAGAGCCTGTAGAACTGAAGGCACCAGTGCGAATGACTGTTGAAGTTGACTTTTTAGAAAATATTAAATGCAACAGCTTACAAGAGAACTCAGAGCTAAAA